TCCGATCCAAGCTTTGATCCGCTGCTGTTTGTTTACGTTGTCTGAAACCCTAAAACTCACCGACCTATAACAATCCGGAAAATCATTATCAAAAGCTCTCGAGCATGAACAAGGACGTTGCCTAAGGCTAGAGTCCATGAGGAAAAGATGCTGGTTACTGCAACCTCACACCTCCTACATCAGCGCACTTTAGCTCCAACCAGTCTTCCTCAGATTCGATCACCATGTCAAGGTCCGTCGCCTTTCTTTTTGTTTTCTATCGTTTTGCTTCAGCTAGCTTTAGTTTTTTTTTTTTCCTGATGATCCAATCGCCTTTAATTTGTGGTGATGCACTGGAATTCGCGTACAGTTCGTTCTCTTCGTTTTGAAAAATGGATATATATTGCAAATGAGAAAGGGAGCTGAGAAATGAAGCAAGCCTTGAATTTCTTAAATTTTCTCCACCAATGGAAATGGTATTGTGCTAATTTAATTGGCTTGATATTTGCAACGCAGATTTTTGACGTTCAGAGGTTTTAGGAAAGTTGCAAATTCCTTTGTTACAAGCCAGAAACACAGCTGTCCAGAAGCGGACAAGTATGGGACGTTTGTTAGAGTTGGCCTCCGTCTTCCCCAATACAGATTCTACAGGGACTATACGTTTCCTGCTAGAGGAAATACCCCATTCTCATTGTACAATACCGCCAACATTTTTTACCGGAGTAATTATTCCAGGAGTTTTGCGGTCATTCCAGCAAGAAGTGCAGTGAGACATCATGCTCAACTCGCTTGGAAAAGGCTCTCCGATAGATTTTCTTTTAATGGTCGTGGATTTTCAGGTGTAATTAATATTGCTCAAGCTTTCAGCTTGGCTGTAACCCGCTCTAATCTCATACTTCCTGGTATTTTTGCCATCACAAGTGGGAAACTAGCATGGGCGCAGAGGTCTTTTTCAGAAACGGACTACCACCCATCACCAAATACATTGTACATGCGTGCACAAGATGGACATGCTTTTATGACCTCATTAGTGTTTTCAGTTTTCGAAGGTGCAATCTTGGTTATGAGAGCACTCTATCTAGGGATCTTGTTCTCACCCAGTATAATGATGGCTGCTTTTGCTGACTGCTGTGGACCTGAGTTTAGGAGATTGTGGCTTCATGTTGTTCACCGTACATTGGAATTGGCAGGTCCAGCTTTCATAAAATGGGGTCAATGGGCAGCTACACGGCCTGATCTCTTCCCGAGAGATTTATGCACCAAGCTCTCAGAGCTTCACACCAAAGCTCCTGAACATAGCTTTGCCTACACGAAGAAAACTATCGAACGAGCGTTTGGCCGCAAGCTCCCTGAGATTTTTGATAATTTTGAAGAGAAACCAGTAGCATCTGGAAGTATTGCTCAAGTGCATCGAGCTACTTTAAGATTTAGGTACCCTGGTCAACAGGTGAAGCCCATAGTAGTTGCCGTAAAGGTTAGGCATCCTGGTGTTGGTGAATCGATTAGGAGAGATTTTGTTATAATCAATCTAGTAGCAAAAATTTCAAAGTTCATTCCTGGCTTTAAAGTGGTGGAGATTGGATGAGAGTGTACAGCAGTTTGCAGTTTTTATGATGTCTCAAGTTGATCTTGCAAGGGAAGCTGCCCATTTGAGTCGCTTTATATATAATTTCCGTAGATGGAAGGATGTCTCTTTCCCCAAGCCTTTGTATCCACTTGTGCATCCTGCTGTTTTGGTGGAAACTTATGAACAAGGGGAATGTGTCTCACACTATGTCAATGATCTTGAAGGCCATGATCGGATTAAATCCGCACTTGCTCACATTGGGACACACGCACTTTTGAAGATGCTCCTGGTAACATATATATACCTTTGATGTTGCTTGCAATGCATTTATGCTTTTGGACTATTTTGATTGAATTGTGTAAAAATATGATAAGCATCTTGTTGTGTCTTAAAGTTTGTGAATTATACCAGTTGATATACCTGAATGTGGTCTGAATATATAAAAAAAGAAAAAAAGGTAGGAAAGCTACTATCTTTCTAATATCTTATCCTTCATGTGTGTCGTTTTCTTTTCTATTTTATTTAGTATATTGAAACATGAGCCCAATAAATTATTGTCTTTCATGTAAATTTACATGGTTGATTTTTTTTCTCTGTATTGTTCTATCTTCCACCATCTCCTCTCTAAAAATGGGCAAGTAACTTGAGAGAGAGAGAGAGAGAGAGAGAGAGAGATTCTCCTTTATTTTTTGTGGTTTAATTATGTTCTAAGTTATCAGAATTTCTTCTTTCAGGTGGACAACTTTATTCATGCAGACATGCATCCTGGAAATATCCTTGTCCGGGTGGCTCAGAGCAAGTCTTCTCGGAAGCGACTCTTCAAATCAAAGCCTCATGTCATTTTCCTTGACGTAGGCATGACTGCTGAACTCTCTAAAAGTGATAGAGTAAATTTAGTGGAATTTTTCAAGGCTGTTGCTCTTCGTGATGGGCGTACTGCTGCTGAGTGCACGCTCAGACTATCAAAGCAACAGAAGTGCCCAGATCCGAAGGCTTTCATTGAGGTAATATTGTTAGGCATCTTAAATTTATTACTAGGAATGATTGGAATAAGGTTGTATCATTGATTTTTCAATTGGAACTTGGAAAATTCATTAGTAATTTTATGTTTGTTTATGAAACTCAGCTCTCTTGAACCCTAATTCAACTTCAAAGGTTTTGCCTTGTTAGTTTTTCCTTAACAGTTCTGGAGATCCGTTGCATTTATCTTGTTTGGGTGTTCCTTATTAAATAACTTGCAAGTTTGATATTTTCCCTTTAAATATTTATTCCTCCTTTATGCTTAAGATTATGCAAAGAACGAATTTCATATTAGAATGCTTTTCAATCCAACTTCCCCTGGTAATACTTTCTTGTCTCAAAGCGTGAATTTTGTCAAGCACAATTGAAATATGTGATATTTGTGTGGTATTCACTCCGTATTTCGTTTATTCATCACTGTGTGTGTTATGGTTGTAGACAAATGCAGTTCCTCAATAATATGAACTCAGGAAGCTTTTGTTACAAGTTTCCCTCCTTTATCTACATTCTGTATTTGATTTAGTCTATTTTCGCCCAAAGTTTCTAATTTTCTTCTTTTTTCAGGAAGTGGAGGAGTCATTCGCTTTCTGGGGTACTCCAGAAGGTGATCTGGTCCATCCTGCTGAGTGTATGCAGCAGTTACTGGAGAAAGTTAGGCGTCATAGAGTCAATGTTGATGGCAATGTCTGTACTGTCATGGTAACCACTTTGGTTCTTGAGGTAATTTCTTTTTCCTTTATCTACTGCAGCTGAAGCATGGAAATTCTCTTATGAAATTCTGTGATCTTTGCTATATAGGCATGTGCAATTTATAAGTACAAAGACATTAAATTAAAGCGCACACAGATTGTAAAGTTGTGTTTTCTTTTTTATTTCACACCGTTTTGTTTTTCTGCTTTTGTCTGTTGGTCATATATTCTTTACTCCTTTCTCTTTATAAATTTAATTTAATTGTCTCAGAAAAACAAATACGATAATTTTTTGTATTATAATAGGTTTATCATGTGTAGCCGAAATAGACAATGACTGATTGTATACAAATCTGTGCTCCAATTTATATTATCATTGGTGTGGTCATCAATAACTGATCTTATACATATCTCACTGATTATGTTTTGCAGGGATGGCAGCGGAAACTTGATCCCGGGTACAATGTCATGCAAACGTTGCAAACACTGCTTCTCAAAGCTGACTGGGCAAAGTCCCTTTCCTACACGATTGAGGGGCTAATGGCTCCGTAAGAAGGTCTTGTCAGTGCTAATGCTACGATTACTAAACAATTTTGACAGTTATAAAATCCAAAATATACCAGTCCCAAGAAGTGGACATGAACATTTAGATCTTTATTTATTTCATTTTTTTTTTTATCTTTTGGGTTTTGGAAATTGCAATACGTTTTGAAGGTTCAATAATCCTTCTGTACTTAGTTTGTTTTTATCAAAAGCATTACTGTTTTTGAAGCCTCACAATTCACAAGCAAAAACAGTAGAGAGGTAAAAGACAGAAATAAAGTGATTCTATTCATTTATTTTAGATATACTTTTCTGTACAGCTTGCATTTTGTTACTTTTGATTTTGAATGGAAGGAAGATAATTATCTAGGTGTATTTTGGAAAATCTTGTCCATGTTGCAGATTAACGTGAATGATTGTTCTTGATGCCACTTGCCCAATTTTTTTTTTTTTGACCATTTCTTTTTCATATCTGTATACATATTTAGTTGATGATTATCATTTACATTTATACATAAAATCTATTTTATCTCCCCTTCTTCCTGCAATTCCATTTTTTCATCTTAGAAAGCCTACTCAAGCCCTTAAATCCTAATGTTTTCTATAAATAACGAAAAAAAAAGATGGCCATCTTCCACGTACAACTACAGTTGCCAAACAAAACGATCACTCAAATCGATCGGCAAGCAAATCAGCTGAACGTAGCTGTAAAAATGAGAATACAAAGTAGTATCTTTCTTCTGGTAAAACTTAAAAAGAAAGAGAACCTGTCTAATTATGTAATGGCACAAGTGCAGGATTATGTTTAACAAACTTGTATACATGATTCAAAAAGTGACGGAAGCCAAATCCTCTCTTGTGCCATCTGAAAATGCCCAAGTCCTATCTATGCCCATAGACGATTGGGAAACAGGGACTGGATTTCCATAGCAATCAAGGTTATATGCTGGTACCAATTCATCGTCCAATTCATGGTCCAATTCAAGTCCAACACCACAAACATTTTAAGAGTGAAATGAAAATAATTGGCAACACCAAGCAGGGCTTTGAGAAACTTATTCTCTCCACTGGGAAGGGGATGTCGCCGAGCAGAAGAGAATAGTAACACTGGGGGAACACTGCGCTCATTTGTCGAGGCTGCAACAAAGGAACAAAGAATAAACAATTCTCTGTACAATAGAATAAAAATGAAACATCTGTAGAATCTCCATTAGCTGAAGTGGTTTCCAGATGTTCCTAGAAACTATATAGCCGTGATCATCTAACCATTACCTGTAATGGAACATGGCAGGTGCTTAGACAACCCTGCAGTAATCGACATAGCAGTGAACAAAACTGATGCTTATATTTCCAACAGCCACTATATACGATACTTTCACATGCTTTGCTAAAGCACCATTAATTGTTTAAGCACAGAGACCTTGTGACATTATACGCATCACTGGGTGCAAGGTTTACACACAACGCACACAGACACAAAAATTGCCATCCCGTATACTATTCGATGCCACAAATATGATTTATTAAAAAAATACGAGTTCTATATACCTTCTTTATTGGAGGTATGGATACAGTCCAACAATTTTGGGCACCTAAAGCCTGAGCAATGCAGCATTTACAAACATGCAGTGGTACTCGGCAATCATTTGAATTCCCAACTGTCATGCAACATCTTGATATGTTCAAGAATCTCCATTTCTTTTCTCTTTTTCTGAAATTCGGGTGCCATATGTGGAAGCACAAAAGAGATACATGTCTTTCCCAGCAGTGGCACTTACATTGCACATGTAAGCTCACGTATTTCTTTGATTGCTGAACTAATACTATAAAGGGCCATTCTCTTCACCTGTTTTTCATGACAAAGGTAGGCACTTTCAATCACTGATCAACTTTGTAAACAGATGATGGAGAAAATAAGACATTGTTACTAGGATCATTGAAAGTTCACCTCTAGCTTGTCAACTTTTGCTTTATGATCTTCTGGAAGCAGACGGACTTCATCAGTCAACTGGATGCACTCATTAACATTTTCAGGTGAGACAAAGTCCAGCACCACATGTACACAAGACTGCATGCCAAAATAAACAGAATGTACAAGATTATGATAACGTATCGTGAATGTCATTTAGTCTTCTAACAAATTTAATAAGATGGGAGAAACACATGAAATCCAAAAGAGTTTTACTAATTTGCCAAAATGATGTGTGATGAATGGGGGACACTATAAATTTATATGCATAACAAGTGTAAATCCGCTACACATTCTTGGTAACCACTCCAAAAAGTCAAAAGAAGTAAAAGTAGGAAAGATTCAAATGGTTTTCTAAATACTAGATCATGAAAGTGTTACACATGCTACCTTAGGACTTCTAATCTGGTATGGGCATCCAGCAGGGATGATGACAGCTTCTCCAATATGTTGCTCGAAAGTCCAAGGTTCAATTTCTGGTAATAGTGAGTGGTGGGTTAACTTCAGTTATTCATAAATCAACCAGTGATGGAAATGCCACGAATTATACTTACTAAATTCCTCCTTAAGCCTTAGTTTGTGACTTGAGTCTAGAAAGAAACTCTGATCAAGAATTGGATGATCAACCTGCAGTAAGTGTGGAAGTTAAAAAGTAAGATAGAGTTTAACCTGATCTGCCCAAAAGCAGTAACTTTAGGTTTTGGACTTACACGCTTATGAATGTCAAATTTACGAGTAAATTCATTAGAGTGCCTTCTGAGATATTGTATAAGTTTTGGAACATCTTGTCTGCGGAAAACATCCCATTGGGCACCACAAGACTCGGCCAAGGTTTTCCTTTTATAGCCATTGCAGCTTTCAAGCAGAACCTGAGACATTTTATCTTTGGACGTTTCAGCATCATCATCGATTGTCTCAGAGCTACTTAGTGTAGCTTCAGAATCAGTCTCAGAATCAGACTGCCCATCGTGGGGCATATTACTTTCTTTGAGATTCCTAGTGCATGCCGCATGTGTGGAAAAGCAAGATTCTCTAGCAACTCTTTTGCGTAAATGCATCTCTTCTCCAATCACATTATGCGACCCTGCTTCTTCCATGGGTTCACTATGCAATACTGATTCTCCTTTGACTTTTTTTGCAATAGTTTGTTCAGAAGTAGCTCTAGAAGATTCCCTCTGATTTTGAGCCTTGTGCTTTTTCAGTAACTTTCTTATTTTAGAAACTTGTTCTTCAGAGATAGGGACATCTGATGTATGTGCCAAAATGTTAACCTGGGGTCACAAGCATAAACAGAATAAATGGAATATAAAACTTAGATAGATTAAAAAATAAATGCTACCTATGCAAAAATAATTTTTAACGTAAAATCAGATAACCCAAATTCAAATGTTAGAGATGCAATGCAAGAGGTGAAGCTTTATCAAAGGCTTACGGTTTTCTCTATATAATTCAACCCAAATTTTATTAAGTTAGTTTAAAAATTACAATTAAGAAGAAATTACCAAAAGTTGGATTAATGCTTGGTGACGTTGGTTTGATGAGGTGACACTTCTACAGGTACCATTCTATAAATTCAAATAATATGCATGGAAAGCAGTTACAGTTACTTGAACAATTAATATGATATTGTGCCTAATTGTGTCATTACAGCATAAATGGAAAGAGACAGCATTCCCAACATAAAATAATAACACAAAAAAAAACTAGACAGCAATGTAGAAGGGATAATTTCAAGGCATACCACATCATATGAGTCATAAGATAGCTTTATCACTGCATTAGCCTGTACAAGTTGCTCAGTGCAGCCATATGAAATATAAACACAGGGACCTAGATCAGGTTTTGGGATTTCCTGTGGCATCCTTGCCGCAAGATTTAGAAGACCCGACATGGGATTCATGTATTCTTGAAGTGGTAGAGCTCGTATTATTTCAGCATAATGAGCTGGGAACTGTTCCTGAAATAACTGCGAAGAAAGCCAACCCCTCAACTTCAGTGTCTCATTCCACATATTCCTTTGTCCCTGCCCCTTCAATGAACCCATAAAAGACTGCCTGATTCCAATTTCCACCTGCCATATGATATTTCTTCTTTTAGAAAGAAAAAAAAAAAAAACAGTGGGTGATAGGACAACTAAGCGTACTTGAAGAGTTTAGAGATAAAGATGCACAAAGCACACAATCAGTTTTCCTTTTGAGAGCTAAAATTGAGAATGGGATTGGTTGTAGACAATTGTGAATTAAAAGAGAACAATTCTATAAACTTTAATCTTCAAGTAGTGGAAATCACTGACCTCACACCAATCCAAGCAGTGGATAGCTTCGTGTGAATTCTGGTTGTTTTCATAGCCAGCAATGCTCCTCTCAAGATAAGTGCAGAACATTAACACTGGATCCCAACTCAAATCTGACGTAGTTTGAAGCACATCTCGAACTATAACAGGATGACCTTTACCCCAGTGCTTCTGAAAGTGCTCAACATTATCACCATGCATCTCCAAAAGCGTGGGGTAGTACAGATAGTTATCATTTGAGTTCTCTCTCACAGCCGCTTCTTGCAACTGTTTAATTCCATCAACTTTCTGGTCCATGCCCAAACATAGTGTGCAGCACAAAGACATGTCAGAAGTTTCTGGAAATTCGTAGCTGCAAACTATTTCTTCTGCACTTACTTCTAGCTCATTGATCCAACTTAATGGGAAAACACATCTCAAATGAAGAAGGCTGTCACCACAACCTCCGAACTCCTTAGGTGGGCAAGATATACCCTTAACAGCATTACAAGTTTTCAAGCTGAGTACTGATGCAGAAGAAGAAAGGTACAAACTGCGGACATTTTGCTTACGGTTGGCTATTGGCTTCTTTAAAAGTTGCCCCTTACCAGAGGCACAATTTTTCTTTTTGTTAGAGTGCTTTGAGAGAGATGTGTTAATACCTCCAAGGAGGCTCCCGTTAAAAATATCTCGACAACAACTTAAACAAAGGTTATAGGAACAATTTGGGCAGCTTCTATGGAGATCCACAATTGAAGCTTTGCATTTATTGCTGTTCCAAAAGCCAATGGTGCCCCAGAGAATCAATGCAAGAAAATTACAAAAATTTCATTTAAACCATTAAAACATTACAGAAGTATAGAACATACCAGCACTGTTGTTCATTGCAGCTATATTCAGCCTTCTTGATATGAACTTCAGATAGTTTTTCCCCTGTTATTATGAAGATGAAAGGAAAAACAAAGAAAAAAAAAGGTTTTTAGTTATCGACCATAAAGTTGGTGCAAAGAGCAACCTTCTAAGAAGAATGGCACACTACCTCTCATTTTTGCCTCTGCTTCTAGCTCCACTTTCTGATCTTGGTTTATTTGTTTTAGCACAGGAAGAAGCATACAGATCAGGTAATGGAAATGTAATATTACTTCAACTTTATTCTTAACCCCCAAATAATCCTGAAAAAAGGAGTATGAACGATTTAAAGTATCAGCATACAATATCACAATAAGCATGATCTAGTTCACAAATCAGCTAACTTTAATGTCAGACCTTACTTTCAGCATCTTTTGATTGATTTTCAGAGCATTCCTTACAGGTGCAAGTTCCTCGACAAACTGGACACGCCATCTTGACTTCATCTTGTGTATCAAAATACCTAAATTGTTTTAAGCAACAAGAGTCATCAAATCTCATCCCATATAACAAGGAGAAGAATTCAAGCATACAGTTAAGGAGCATAAGGATATTATCTTCACTCAGTTTTGTTTCGAGCAATGCATTGTCAGCTGTGGCTAGAAGGAGATAATTGGATTCTCACTTTGTCTCTATCATTTTTTTTTCTTTTGTCTTTTCATCTTGTAGGATGCAGAACATTCTACAAAACCATGGCTTCTGGTAGTTTACTACAGGTGCAGACGAGGGTGAATTTGCTAATGTGCCAGCAAAATCCAAGCTGTTCATAAAGTTCTCTTAAAATTTATCACTTTCTGATCAAAAGAAAGATAGATAAATTTCAGTATTTCACACCAGTATTTACTTGCTTTGAATTGATTGATTTCTTACTTTTGGTTCATGAGCTGATATTCTGATGATTAACTGATGAAGATTCGATTCTTAAGCACCAGATTCTGCAATTTATTTATTTATTTTTAATGAGAGGAGTACAGAATACCATACAAATGACCCCTTTCAAAAATGAAGTTCATACATTCACGCTACTAGAGTTCAAACTACGGTCTAAGCACCATTCTATAAGAATTGTTAACTTCACATTTAACTTCTATAAAAATATGAATGGAAGCAGCAATTTAGCAACTTCTTCCATAGAGCGAAGCTCTTAAGTTTCAAACATAAATTTGACAACCATAACCAAAAGAACACAAAACAAACCTTTCTTTGATGCAACCCAAGCAAAAGAAATGCTTTTGGCAACTCGAACACTTAGTTAGACAGGAAGAAACACCACTCCCACTTCTTTGACACCAATGGCACCTTTTCCTCTTACCCCTTCTCAATTTCCCCACATTATAAGGCAAAACCTAAACAAAAGAAAAAACCACTGAGAAAAAAAAATAATTTAAAAATCCCACAAAAACCATATTATCATAAAGGTTGAAGTCAGAGCTCGCCTGCAATGTGCCAGCAGGCATTGGCTCGATGTTCTTGGACCGAAAGCACCTCCGCCGCATAGCAGCAGGCCCCATATCAACCCCAACCTTACCATCAGAAGACGAATTGGAACCTGCATTGCCGGAACGAAGCAGTGGCGACTGTGACGAAGACGAAGAAATTGCCATTAGGCCATTAGGCAAGTCTCTGGTGAGATCATCATGATCATCATCGTCATCATCCTCACTCTCTTCCTCCACAACCTTCTTCTTCTTCGTCTGGTTCCTCTTATCGACCTCCCTCTTCAGCACCATTCGTATAAGCTCCAAATTCAACTCGCTCTTCTTCAACTTCATCTTCTTCTTCCTCTTCTTACTTTTCTTCAACGTCTCCTCGGATCGCTTCCTCTTCAACAACTTCACCAAATTGTCGACTTTCCGTGCCCTAATTTTGACGCCGTTGTGGTTTTGATCTCTGCTCGGTGCGTTTTTAGGCTTTCTCTGGAGTTTGAGTGACTCCGGGACTTTCTCTCTGAACTGACGGTGCCGTCCTTGGAGATAGTGAATCTCGCAGAGCTTCATGTCGTCCATGACTCTCCGTTTGCACCGCCATTGCCGGCCGTCTGTCCGGCCACAGCGCAGATGGTCCGGCAACGCTCCCTCTTCATCCATTCAAGAAAATTGATTTTTGACTTTCGAGGAAAATTTGTGGTTTTCTCGGGAAAGCGCTCGCGAGTGGAAGATAGGAAAGGGCTAAACTTTTTAATTGCGAGGGCAGAGGATTGCAGAGAGAGATTTTTAGGGGTTTTCAGAATTGTATTTATTGGGAGAAACAGTTGGAGAGCTTAATGTAAAAAATGGAGCAAGGAAAGGGCATATTCCGTAATTAGAGGGAAAGAAAGAGTCCAATTTGGTCTCGAAATCTTCAATTTGGGTCAGATCCTACGATTCAAGAGATTCAAGATAATTGCCACCCAATCACAATTCTGGGCAGAGTCACTGAACCAAAGCAAATTTCATATTGAAAGAGACTTTCTTTCTTTTGGAAGTTTGATGTTCATTCGACAGTGGAAGCCCCTGAAAGCAAGCTAATATATAGAGTGACAGTAACTATAAATGGATGGATCATGGATCTTGGTGCAATTTTCTCTGTTTTGTTTTTTTTGGGCTATTTTTTTTATGCTGTTTTGATTCATGGGTTTTATGTATTTTGCTTTTACAAGTTGGCCTTTTTGGAATTTGATATTGATATGGGAATTGAAAGCTTTCAGTTCAGGATAATGCATTGCTTTTAGTGTGTGTGTGTGTTTTTTTTATACGTCAGTCAGAGACTCATAATATTTCCCCTCCTTTCTGTTTTTTTTGGATTAAGCCAGAAAAATAAAATAATAAAAAACAAGTGTCCAGTGCAATTGAGACTCTACTTAATGAAATTGTTCTCTGGCTTTTCCTTATCTGAAGAATGCCAGTTTGCCATGGAAACAAAGGAAATTAGGATATTATATGGAAACAAAGGAAATTGTTGTGTCATGTATATTCTTGTTACACAAGAAATTATGCTTCTATTTTGTGCAATGCGTATGCAATTGGTTCAGCATAGCCGATCGAGCAGTTCAATATGGTCCAGCCACTTTTGGGCTTTTCCCATCTCACAAACGGCAATAGTTTCTTTCTGACTAGAACCCAACTGGGCTTTGTGGTAGTAGCTAAGACTTTTGGCACCTCCCTCCGAACACTTGCGAAGCAAACATCCTCTATCTAGTTGTATTGATAACTTGAACCAAATTTGCAGAGATGAGGAAGATTATTATGAATTATATATAGATGAAAAACAAAATGAAAAGATTCAGAATTCTGATCATTTCTCAAACAATTATGAAATTAGGAGAGAGGTTTCTTGAAAAATTCTCAAATTTTATGGGGCTTTTATTTAAAAGAATTAGATTAAGAAGTAGTGGTTGTTGTAGATAATAGTTCTTTTCTTTTTTGCAATGGTTCGTCTGCAAGCACAAGCACTAGCTGGCTTTTCTTTTTTTTTTTCGCAACATTGTCTTGATGGCTCGTCTGGTTCTAGTAGTACTCGTTACACGGTGCAGGTGGGAATTCGAGGAGGAGGAGGCCGATTTGTGTCGAGTAAGTATTGGTGTCGGCCACCACGGGAACACAAATGGGAAGACAGGTTTCTCAGAGTGAATCTCAAAATAAGAATACGGTGTTTTTGAAACCTCCGTTAACCTTTCTTCACGAATGTTGCACACGACAATATGTTGAGCAATCTCTAGATACAAGATGTCCTCATTATTTGGGTCGAAAGCAAGCACCTCCATCGTCTTTGACGTGTCCATGACTTGATCAACGGATTGTCCCGATACATATCGCACAGGATAACTCTACCTGCCAAACACCATTTGCCATTGTTGCCTGCAACTACGTCCATGTCCATCCGGTGATCATCTTTCAACTCCCAAACCTTCACATCACCATCGTTATCATCAAAATCCGCGAGGGTGAACTGGCACATTCGCAGACGCCCTCTACTAGACACACCTAGGAACTTAAATGATCCAGACGTCCGCTCATCTGTAGGCTTATTCTCAATGTAACGAAAACAATATTTACCCGACTTTTCGTAGGGATCCAAACCATTCATAAAGCCCTCACCAGAGCTCCACCAGTAGAGCATTCCATTGTAACGCAACCCCTGCATCGCGACACAACGTCCTAAAACGCTTGGGCATGGTACAACTGACTCTGTCCATCTGCCAGTGTCCGACGAGAACATCTCCATGTTGAATAATTCCAAGGATTTATCTGGACGTTTAGGAGAAATTATTCGCACAACCCTGTACCTGTACTCAACATTAACCCGGATTTCACTTTCTTCATCTACTTGTTCTTCTTTTCTGTCACATTGCTGGTTCTTATCATTATTATAGTAGTAGGGTTCGCAGATGAATCCCACTCTTACTTCCTCGTGGCATCGGGGAGCAGGAGGAAGAGCATCCCATTGCCTGGTGTAGGGGTTGCAAATGTAGTAATCACGCTGAAAACTCATGGTTGGGCAGCATAAAACTAAGTCGGTATACGCTCCTACTACAATTGGTTGATACTCTGGTGTGCTGTTACTGACAGACCCTTGAAAACAAGGGAGGAAACTCAAAGACAACTTGCGGTCCGGAGGCTCCGACTCCGAGGAAAAGAATTTCCCTGGTTGCCTTGGATTCGTAAAGATGAGAGTGCCCGAAATGGGCTTTTGGTTCTCACTTTGTACGCATAGAAAACGGCCAACGAAATACGTATTAGAAGAAAGTAGACTGAACCAACGTTTGGACACGCACCTGCATACAGCTCAGATTCACGGGGAAGTCGACAAATGATTTCTATCAGTACAAGGTCAGGGAGATGATCAAGATTCAACATGGACAGGGTCAGTATTGTTATGCTTTCTGGGCCAAAAATGGACTGTAACAATTGAAGTGCTTTATGGGCCTGCCAAAGCTTGGCCCCAAAAAGAAAAAAATTTCCACATTAGATTTCTGAGCCCAGCCAACCCTACTCCACAATTTACAACATCATTTCAGCCCAACTCGCAGCTAAAAAAGAATATTGTTTTTGGAGCTTGCTTCAAGTCAATGAAGAAGATCAAGAAGAAGCAGTCGTGGCACATTATGAGTTATGACAGAATATTATTAAGCTAAATAATTATTACAAATAAAAAGAATTACATCAATAATTGTTTTCATGGTAACGTTTATATTATATTTGCAAAATAATTATTTTTCCTTATTAAGCCTTATTATTTTAATTTTTTCACTTGACACATTTTTTATTTTCAATTCTAACATGATTTTTATTTTTTTTAAAAACTCAAACACACTCTCGTATAAATGAGTGAGCATTATTCAACGTAAGCATTTTTACCACACTTTTTAATTCTGAATATAAACTTACTAACACAAATTTTTGCCACAACGACATCGTCACTGTCACCGTGACACATCCCATCGACCAGAGATCATTGTACACATTATAGTAAATAAATAAAGACAATTTTATTTCACCCAATTTGAATTTTTATTTGGGCTATTCCTATTTGTAAGGATGGTCAACTCCCTGGTTGATCACTACCGGCATTTTATTTAAGGTACGTAATTCTATTTTTGCCAATGGTGTTGGTTGGTTCCTATTCTCTCCTCAAAAGTCAAAAGCAAAGGAAAACAATAAAATGCATTTCCGGAATTGAGGAGAAAATTGGGTTGGAAAAAAGAAAAATCCAAACTTAAAAGGGCTGCAGGCTGCTGATCCTGGCCTTTTGAAATGTGCTGCGCAACAAGAAAAAGGCCTAAAAGAAAGAAGAAGACCAGAGAAGCCAGCCAGTACTTCGCCAAAATTGGATAGAAACATAATTGGGTGCAGCGCTGATGAAATTTCGAAACAAGTTCAATTCATCAACGCTGCACTCAATGATGTTTCTTCAATCTGGAACCTCCACTGCTCTCATCATCTGCATCTGCATGATTGATTTTGAGCCACCCTTAAGTACTATATATATATATATATTGGCTGTGGCAACAGATGACATTAAAGAATGCAGTACACCAAGACCAAGCTTTTGTTGTATTGAATCTTGACCTTGTACTACCATTTCACTTTCTAACCTCAACTCTGTTACTTGCTGCTCTATTCTACCTGTACTGTTTAAGGTACTGAAAACTTGTTGTACTACACATCTCCACCACCTATATTAAACTAACCCCAAACCTCTGCTCTCTCTTTCTCTCTGTAATTTTCTTTTACTATCATGATTAGATTTAGTCTTATCATGTTTCATTAAGTAGTTTGAGATATTTAAGTAAAAACCACTAATGAGGACTAGGTCCAATCTTGAAACTCTGATATATAATTCTCACATCCTACCTGCCAGTTATAGGTGAAATAGATGCTTTGAAATTACAAGCCAACAACCTAATTTCAAACCAGACTCTTACGAGAAGTGGTTATGGACTTTACCATCAGACCCTTTGTAAACTAATGTAGTACAGTGCATGAATTTAACATAAAATGGACTGCATTAAGATTTCATTTACAACAATTGCCTAAATTACAAACTTATGTGCATCAAAGAATTACAATGATCAAGAGCAACAACTAAAATCTTATATTTTACGAAAAACAATCTTACCCTCAGCATCTTCATGCATGATGGATAAAACTTGATTAGGCGGAATGTGTTGCCAAACTTGAGGCTTTCCACACATATGTCCCATTTGAGCAAACTTATCAGCCGCTCTGTTGCCTTCTCTGTAAATATGAGTCAAGATGCAGTTGTTGATCTCTGGTATGATCAAGTTTATGTGACTAATATGCCTTTGTGCTTCTGCACATCGAATCTGTCTCCTTTGCGCGATGATTTGAAGCAACGTCTTTGCATCCCCTTCGAGCCACACATCGCTCCAACCATTTTCCAGTACCAACTCAAGGCCTCTTCTGAGTGCAGCCAGTTCTGCAATAATGCTATTGGCTCTTCCTATAGGTTCAGCATAGCCAAGTAAGAAGTCAGCCTTATGATTTCTAAATAGCCCTCCAATGCTGGCTTTTCCTGCTTTGCCTTTAGAAGATCCATCAAAGTTCAGTTTTGTCCAGCCAATTTTGGGTTTTTCCCATGTCACTGGAATTGGGGCCTTGTGCAAACTCCGGAACAGACATACCGGGTTTTGTATTAATTTCTCAAACCTCAAAATCTTAGTGAAGGCTAACATTTTCCGGCAGTTACTTCTCTTAAAAAATATATATTCTAATTAACATCTGCATGAATGCAGCACACTGGAAAAAAATGCTGAGAGTAAAATTGAGAGGAAGAAATGAATTATTTCGTAGAGAAAAAGTTTACAAGATTGAAGAAGTAAAATTCAATGTAGTATCAAAGTTACATATGTACAATCTGAAATTGCTTGAAAGTAGGGGGATAAGGTTTGCAGAACAAAAGGAAGGCAAAGGTTTGCAGGTGGAAAAGTTTATTAATGGCTAAGTTATGAATTTAAAACCTCAAACCAGGGCCATTAATCCTTTGGAACCTAAGAAACTATTGCTTCACGTAACCATGCATTGATAAAGTTGGAGTGGAGAGAAGGCAAGGTACAATTCATATTTTACAACAAGAAGGCAGCACTAAAGTAATGCAATATATATACTTAGATGATGAAAATGGCCAGAGAGATTTCTTCAAGAACTCTCAAACATATAATTCTGATTCTGCAGACATTTTTTTTCTTCTTCTTTTGTTCTGATATTTGGACTTGAATTTTTGAGAAATTGCATGCTTTGCTATTACATGTAGAAGGAATGCGTGATGACTTGAGGAGAGAGTGAACTCCAACATTGACCATTAAATGGTAACTGTAAAAACCTACTGATTTTATCCAAATGGGATTTTTAATATATAAAAAATTGCAAATTAACAGCAATTTTCTATAAAATTGGTGGGAAATCCGAAAGGTAAGGATGCCTAAATTTGATTAGTTTTTTTAGGAATGCACTTGAGGAGGAGATATAGAGAAAGCATGCAATAGGGTCTTTGACATTGGTCATCTGTGATTGAGATGATCTAATCAGTTGCCTTAGATTTCCATCCCCACAAAATTAGTTAGGCCAATCAGTGGAGGAACAAAAAAAAATCTCCTCAACTGTGATTGAGTTTCTAACATTAGGCAAATCTCTGTTATTGAATTAGAATTGGTTTTCATTGCATCCTCCATTATAAAATCAAGTATACTATATATACAAGTGCTAACATAACATAAATCTAATCAAGATGAGAGCACACACTTACATACAAGTGGCAATCAAGTATTAAACTAGCCTAACTAGTAGTAATCCCAATGGGACATGTATAATATTAACTGTTACATAATGAAATATAAAGATGAACATCAAATTCAGACCAAATTAGGGAAGGTGAAACTTTTTTTCTCTTGCCTCATCGGCTAGCTTCGAATCCTTTCGAATTAGTTGCTAGCTGCCTTGCATGCATGGTGTGCGCTAGCTTTGTTTTTCTGTGGAGCTAGCTTTTCTTTTCTTTTTTGCAACATTCTCTTGGTGGCTCGTCTGGTTCTAGTAGTACTAGTAGTATAAGTGGTTACACGGCACACGTGGGAATTCGAGGAGGAGGAGGCCAGTTTGTGTCGAGTAAGTATCGGTGTCGGCCACCACTGGAACACAAATGGGAAGACAGGTCTAGCAGAGTGAATCTTACCATAATAATATGGCTTGTTCGAAACCTCCGTTAGCCTTGCTTGGCGAATGTTGCACATGATGATGTGTTGAGACAACTCTAAATACAAGACATCATCATCATTTGGGTTGGAAAGCGAGCACCATAACCGTGTTAAGCCATTTGCCCTGATATTTCCTTGTTACCATCAACGGGTTTCCGGAAGCATATCTAACAGAGTAACTCTGCCTACCAAACACCATCTGCCATTGTCATTGCATGCAGCGTCATCCATGTCCATGTCCTTGTCCATCTGGTGGTCATCTTTCAACTCCCAAACACTCACATCACCATCGGTATCACCAACATACGCAGGCAGTACTGGCACATTCGCAAACGCCCTCTACTAGAGACACCCATGAAATCAAATGCTCTTCCATACTCCGACTCCGACTCATCTTCAGGTTTATCAATGAAATGGAAACAGTATTTACCCGAGTTGGAGCTGTCGTTGGAGTAGGGATCCAAACCAATAACAAAGCCATCACTAGAGCTCCACCAGTAGAGCATTCCATACAACTGACTCTATCCATCTACCATCTCGGAGGAGAGCATTTCCATGTTGAACTCGAAGGAATTCTCTGGACACTGAGGAATTATTCGCACAACCTTGTACCTGTACTCAACATTAAGCCAGATTCTACTACATGCATCACTTCTTCTTCTACTTCTTTTCGGTGGTCTTCCTCCTCACATTGCTGCTTCTTATAATTATAGTAGTAGTAGGGTTTGCAGATGAATCCCACTCTTACTTCCTGGTGGCATCGAGGAGCGGGAGGAAGAGCATCCCATTGCCTGATTTGTGGATTGCAAATGTAGTAATCACATTGAAAACACATGGTTGCGCAGCATAACACTAAGTCGTCATAAGCTCCGACCACAATTGGTTCATACTCTGGTGTGTTGATACGCCCTTGAGAACAAGGGAGGAATTAAAATTCATGTTGCGTGTTAACGACTCTAGAGGATTAGAGGAGGGCGTCGCAAAGAATTTCCTTGGCTGCCTTGGATTCGTGAAGATATGCGTGGGATGGGCTTTTGGTTATCACTTGGTACACATAGAAAACGGCAAACGAAATAAGGATTAGAAGAAACCAGACTGAACCAACGTTTGGACACGCACATACATTGAGCTACAGATGCAAAGGGAAGTCGACAAATGATTTCTATCAATACAAGGTCGGGGAGATCATCAAGATTCAACATGCTGGGGTTTAAGTGAGGTTCTGAGTGTGGTTCAAGATCAAGAGACTGGGATATTCTCTCTCTTCTTTTGGTAGCACGAGGTTCAAGATCAAGACTTGGTCAACAAAAATGTAAGTTACGCAACAATGGGAACACACTGCATAAGGTTTGCTGCAGGCCTACTATATCTTCAATATGTCACACTAATCTTCTTCTATCATCTTAATTCAAGAAAGAAAACCAATAATTTACAAGGTTGCAAGAAGTAGTTCCTATTTGGTCTTCAATTCAGCCAATCATGAAATTAGCATTCAAACTAGAGCAACTTTATTTCTTGGTGATCACACTTCGGCTCCTTAAAATTTGCTCTTGCCAATGAGCCATAACCAGTCAAGGGAAACTCCTGCAAATATGCCGCACAAAAGACACAACACAAGTATATTTCCCAAGGCATTTTGCTCAGGTCCCTGCAAATCAAAGAACCCAAGACATTAATTAACTTTCATGAGAAACCAGTAAAAATAACTTCATATTTAGAACCATGTTGACCAACCTTGTAACCCTTGGGTGCCACTGTCATGACACATACAGTGAGATAACCATTTGTTAATCCTAAGACTGATGTGAGCAAGATCATCCATCCCTGGTCGCCATATTTTCCGGTGAAGTAATATGCTGGAACGAACAGGAAACGCGATAGAATTGTAATCATGAGGCCCTTTCTGGATTCGATCTTCAGGCATTTCACAAGGGGTATGTATCTTGATATCAAATCCAACACATTGTACATTGCGACCAGAACAAGCGGATACCTTTGAGTTCACCAGGCAACCAACACAAAGTTCTTATTTTGTAATTTACAAGAGGAATTGGTAATACATGAGATTGTGGGCCATACTCAGAAAACAAGCATTTAAGAGACAAAAGGATTGAAACTTACCATGTGCCTAACTGGTGTTTTCCGGTATTTTCAAATATGAAGCCGGGGAAGATTGATAATGTCAGCACATATATCAGAAACAAGTCAAGTGCATAATCTATATTCTGCATGAACAATTGCTTAGTGCTCAGTCGAGTTGGAAGTATTTTAGTATCATTTGAGACCTGTGAAAATTTTAGAAAGCTTGTTAGTAATTAGACATCTAAGCATATCCTCAAGAACATACATCATCAGATTAAAGAAAGTTTCAATACTTCTATGTCTGCTTGTGTTTGGATGCCAGCAGCAGCAAGATCAGCGGATACAGTTTTAGAGCCTTCTGAGGCTGCCTTTGAGCGGTAGTACTTTACTATAGGCAATCTAGGGAAGTAAATTGCATATAGAAGAATACACAGAAACTCAATGAGTGTGGAAATTGCTAGGAACATCACTGCAAAAGACCAATCATACAACAAATTGTCATTGATCGAAGTACTTAAAGTCAATTAGAAAGTATGACTCTAGCTTCTGAAAGCAGCTGATCAGATAAAGAACTTGAAACGTTACTTCTATGTACCACAAGTCCACATTTTCGGCTTTGACACATTTAACCACACTACAACAACAGGTATATGAATATCAACCACCAATTTGTCTATTAGTAAAGAAAATTCACATACTCGCCCCCTTACGAAGACCATTGTGATACTTCTCAAAGGCAGCTTTCGTCATCAGCCTCATGCCAGAGGTTAGAGCACCTGATGCAGCCAAGCCAGCAAAGAAGGACTGCAGAAGCAGAACATAAAAACAGCACTCACTAAGATAGGAAACTGTAAGGTTAATGTTACAGACGATAACAAAAGAGGTCACAAACATTGAACTCTGAGAAGAAGACCAACCTGGATGAATTCAGGATGCATAAAAGACAGGTCTCCGACCATTCCACCTTGAACATGGGCATCTGCAACCCCAAATGCACCAACACATGCACATATACCAATATAGGGTCCAATCGCTCCACGCCCAGACGTAGCTAAATCCACCTATTACAAAGGTGAAAATGAAGTTAAGAACATGGAGTAGAAAGGGGCGCAAAAATAGAGTATGTACATAGGCGTTACTTACCACTATTAGCATCAAGGTCCCAAGGAAGAAGAGAGCATATCCAATTAAGTTCCTCTTCCTGGTGTTCAACTTTGCTTCATGGTATGCTAGTGTTACCATAGTAATAAGTGCAAATGGTTGATAAACAAGGGTAAGAACCCGCGACGGGTGGTAACTCTATAAAAGAGAAATGCTCATCAGACTTTTAATCAGAGACTTTCATTTAATGGAACAGAGGTTCCCACTACTAAAAGTCCAAATTTTTTTGTTGCCCTGCAATTTCAAAAGGGCAATGATAATCTGACTAGAAGCCTAATTGATTTACAAATTGTAACTGAATTACAATATATCCTGTTCAAACAAAGCACTCAGCCTTGAACCTGAACAAGTTCTTAGACACCCGCCAGATCCTTCAAATGATAAAGATCATTCCTTTAATCATAAACAAAACAGAAGTGTATAGTAAGTAGCCGCTTACCGCTGGAAACAAATTATAATAGTAATCTCCTATAGTCAGCATACTGTTCCAAGCGACAAGGGAGCCCAGTCCTAGAAACCAACAAACCGCCATAGCTTTATAATGTCCCTGCTTGTCACATGAGATATTAGAAATTTCAGGGTCAGGTAAATCAAATAATGAAGAAAAGTTCAATGCTTTGAGCAGCACAAACCTCATGCTTAATTGAAGCCCTGCTTTCATTGTCCTCTGTCATGGCTAGTCCCTATATTTGAGAAACACAGAATTAAACTCTTTATATAAGTTTCATGTACACTATAAATTTGACTGCTTTATGACTATTTTTGAAAATGGTAAACAGAACAAATCAAAGATGCAGAAGAAGGAGATAAAAATGAAAATGGGTTTCAGAATCAGTATGCATACACTTGTTTACCTGAGTAGATTCCTAAGGCTGACTTGAATATGCAACTTGGTTTTCAATAGTATATCCTTCACTGTTTCCAGAAACAAGAAGAATATAAAAGATGATTAAGAAACTGCACGAGAGGCGTTTTGACTTGTTCAAGCAATATATAAAGGCAATGCTTGTAGAGAAGCAGGAATTAAATATACAAATTATTGCAGGCTTTTATTATTGTCCACGTGGACAGAAAAAGAGATGAGATTCTGTTGTGTTTTTGAGAAGATGGGGTCGGATGGATGGACTGTGTGTGAAGTAATCCTGAATATGAAAGCAAAAATGACAGCAGGCTGTGGAATTTAAAAGCCAAAAAAAGTAAGGGTCTCTTCTTCCTTTTAGAGCAAGTGGAAGCTGGCTGTGACGTGATCGGTGAATGAGATTGACAATGGCTAAAAGCTGAGGAGGAAGAACCAGGAATGGCAACAGGGAAGGTGCAGCAGAAATGAATATATAAAAGGACAATCTTCCAAGATATTGACTTGTAAAACAACTAGCTTCGCTCAGATGCAAGACCTCGACGAACAACTTTCGTTTGCTTGGAGGGAGTTGAAAGTGCTTCAATTGGAATTGCTTGCATCACGACTTTCATTTCGTCAACAGTTGGGGATTATAAAAAATAAATAAAAGCGTCCCACACAAATACAAATTGTTTATCTTTCATCATTTTCAATTGGCTGGTGTGATTTGGAATTTTTTGGAATAGTTAATGAAAATATAGACAATAATCTTAAATTTGGATTACTTCCTAAACAATCTGAAAGGTGCATTAATATCTATTTAAAACGTTTGATTTATGTTTGAAATACTTTAGCAGCTTTTAAAAAATTCCCTACTTTTTCACAACTTTCTTGATTCCCTTTTATTCAATGGAATGTGATAGAATCTTCCCCGAAGTTGAGTCAAACAAACAATTAAACAGTTGGCTTTTTTCCAAATTTATTTAATTTGTGCCTTATACGTAACGTATTGTTGATAATCGAATCAAAACTACTTTGGAAAAAAGTTTGAAAATAAAAAAACTTAGGCTAGCCTGCAGACGAAGCTTTTGGTTGCAGAATGGGTAACCAATTGATCCTCGGTATGTGTAACGTATACGAGGCACGAATATAATTGCACAAATTAAGTGGTGGTGTTTTTATATTCACTGCGTGCGTCCACACGTGCAATATGTTGATCCTATTATTATGGTCAATATATTGGGCGGTCAAATATGGAATATCCCGCAGTATGTTTTTCAGTATGAATCCTGGAAAAGTATTTGGGCATCGTTACAGGTTACTACAAATTTGCGTGTTACACTATAAGTGTGATTGATATTTTCTCAATTTAAAGTGATGTGACGTTGTGACAGTCATATATTGTAAGGATGAATACCATGAAAAACGGCGTAGCTTGAAAACAATAACAGAAATAGTAATTGCACCAATCAAATACAAGTTACAACAACAGTGTTGTAGAAGACGCATAATGCTATGGTTCCAGTTTTAAGATTTTCCCCAAAGGCCCAGTTTTAAGAAATCGAATGTACTGAGTTGGGCATTTAAGTAAGGCCTAATGCTATGGTCTATTTACGGGTTGGGTCCAATTTCATGTTCTAAAATTAATTAGGATTTGGGAAGAAGTCGCAGCCTCTGGTTGAGAGAGAGAGAGGGTAACCCAACCCAACCCAAACACCAATCCTTGGCTAGTGTGGACCAAGATTGGAAAAAAGGAAGTTCCTAGGAAAATAAAAGATTTGTTTTGTGTACAGGCGAAAGCATGATGCTTATTATGGGGTCAGAGAAAGAGAAGGTGATGCAATGCAGCACTCAAAAATTGAAAACCACCCCTTATTCAGTAAAAAAAAACATTCGAAAATATGTCTCTGTCTCTAAAAGGATGTTATCCACCGCCCAAAGTTTTCTCCAGTATTTTTTTTTCTTCTTCTTTTTTGGGTAAGCAACAACCAGCACCGCCCAAGCTGGACATTACCATAAACGTCCCTTTAATTCTTTTTAAAAAAGATTTGTCTGTATTAAACTTTTCACACGTGGAAATCAATAGTTTTTTTTTTTTTTGGGGGGTCAGAAAATCAATAGTTTACCATAGAGCAAAAAGCACAAAGAAGGTAGGACCCATTGATCGCGGTTTCGCGGACAAATGCGGCATATCAAACTGTCGTATGATTGGACAGTGAGGGCATCACGGAAGCAAGCGAGTGAGGGTAGAAGTATCCTGGGACCCAGGACAAAATGGTGACAAACAGCCACGTTGCACCTCACAATCAGACAGGACCAAATGGGCTCACAAAACCAGTATTTTAAAGCATAATACCCACCACCACCGGGGCCCACACCTTCCTTCGCCCTGCGACTTAAGCAATAAACCATCTGTATTTGAGCAGCTCACCCAACTCCGCACTCTGATCTCTCTCCTCTCCTCTTCAGCAAGTCTCTCAATCTCCTTTCTTTAGAAGCAAATGGTTTTCGCTGGGCCGGGGTTCAATTATTATAGAGGAGATTAGGGACGGACGGATCATCATTTCAATTTTCAAGCCCCATAATTACCAAGTGTGAGTATTCTCTTTCTATTTATCTCTCTTTCATTTTCCTCATTTTATGCCTCGTTTATTTTTTGTCTTTTCAAAATGCACAAAAGATGTTGTTTGTTTGTTTTAACTTTGGAGCACAATTCATCTTCTAAATATCCATTTGAATATTGAATCATCGATCACCGATTCGATCGAAAATTATGCAAAATATTAACCTATGCATGTAGCAAGTTTGATCTTAGAAGTATGCTTATGATTATGGTATTGATTTTTCCGTTGAAAGACTTGGAATTGATTGATCCTTTGAAGATTCCATGCTTTTTTATCTTAGAAACTTTTATAATGGCAGTATAAAAATTAAACAAAAAGCGCACTTTACTCTGCTTCTGACTGAGTCTCGGGGACAGACAGCGGTATATCAATTTTCAACGACAACTGGGCAATAATTATAATACTCATTACATATAAGCTAAGATTAATATATAGCTTTACGGAACTCAATTAGCTAAATTAGGTAAAATAAATCAATAAAATTGAGACACAAAAAAAGTAAGCGGGGGCCCAGTAAAGAAGGTCAAAAACCCAAACTGAAAACCAGGGTCGGGTCAGGTCAGGGAAGCGTCTGTGACGGCCATCCATCACAGTCACCCAAATCGCTAATTCCAACACGCAGACATTCCTTACGGTCTGCAACTTCAAGTCGATTTTGGATTCTCGGCGTAGAATTCGATACGCCAAAGCTGACCCTTAAAACTTCATAACTTTTGTTGCAGGGCAGGGCAGAGTTAATATTGCTCAACGGAGAATGACGTCACTTCACCCCTCCGAGCTGGACTCGGCCGCCACCGACTCCGTCTCGTCCACCCCACGCTCCGACCACCCGTCTCACGATCTGAATACACGTGTACGGTTCATGTGCAGCTTCGGCGGCAAGATTCTCCCACGGCCACACGATAATCAGCTTCGTTACGTCGGCGGCGATACTCGAATAGTTGCCGTACACCGTGCCGCCAGTTTCTCTTCCCTCCTCACCAAGCTCTCTAAACTCTCAGGCAAACTCCTCAAAACACGCCGTCAAATCGCAATTCAGTGGTTTTGCACTCTTCCTTATTGTACTTTTTTGTTGTTGTTATTTTTGATTATTTGCAGGACTGAGTAACGTGACGGTGAAGTACCAGCTGCCGAATGAGGACCTTGACGCTTTGATTTCCGTCACGACGGACGAGGACGTGGACAACATGATAGAAGAGTACGACCGTATAGTACAGAATCAAAACCCCAAGTCTGCTCGGCTCCGCCTCTTTCTCTTCCCTAAAGGCGAGGACTCAACAGCTAACTCGAGATCCTCCAGCATCAGCTCACTGCTCGACGGCTCGGCTAAACGTGAGCTCTGGTTCCTCGACGCGCTCAACAGCGGCGCGTCTAATTCCTCGGTGCTCGAGCGCGGCCGCTCCGAAGCTTCCTCGATTGTCTCCGAAGTGCCCGACTACCTGTTCGGGTTAGACAACTCCGAGGAGACTCACTCGCGCGGTGAGTTCAAACCGAAACCCCGAACCGTATTGCAAGACAACGTGTCGGCTTCGGATCCGGGTTCTCCTGCCCCGGTTATTTCCTCGCCGTTTTGCTCGACGTCGTCTGTGCCTTCAATTCCATCGATGCCGAGTCTCCCACCCGTGAAGACCCGACCCGACTTCAATCAAGTTGTCGAGACGAAAGATAATCATTCAGAGGGTTTTACAGAGACCGTCGATCTGCCGGTACCACAAGCGACGGGGTTCTCAGCCAATCCCGGTGTGCATTACATTCCGGATCCTAATTACCCGGGTCATGTTGTTCGGTCAGTACCCCTTTATTATTACCCGGGTCCGGTTCCACCAGCAAACGTACAGGTCCAACCGGTTCCAGTTCGGAGTCAGTTTGTTCATCAGCAATACCCGGGTCAGATTCCGGTGGGCTATCATAACCAGATACCGGGTATGGGTCAAGTATATGGTGGAGGGTTGAGGCCAGTTGGGGGATTGGATCCATATGATGTGTCAGCTAGGGTGGTCTCTGATGGAGTGAACCAGCAGCAGCAGCAGGTGTACTATGGAGTGAGGAATCCGAATGCTGCTGTGGCTTCGGCATACAGTCCAGGTATGGTGGTGCCATCTTCTGGGGAAGAATGGCCAGGACCTGGACCCGAAATAAATATGGGTCGGGGCCCCAATACATCTTGACATGCAAATGCAATGCATGAAGGGAAAGAAGACTCATTACTGTGATTGATTAAAGTGTGGTTATTTTATTGTTGATGATGATTGCTGAGTGAGTGATGATACAATTGTAATTAGCTTTTTCAACTTGGTATTGTGAAGTGCTTTTTTTTTTAAAGGGAAAAATGGTATAGAAAAGTGAAAACTTTTGCTTTCAAATAATGCTTTTATTTAGTTCCTTTGTAAAAAAAAGTAAAACTAATAGTAAGAGGCTTTGTTAGATTTTTATACTATCGCAAAGGCCTTTTCTTAATTTATGATTTTTTTATATCAATTCAGGATTGATATGGAAGGGCCAAATTAGATTCATATGAATTGACGGAAGCATATTGGCTGGGCATGCAAAGTCATGGGCTGAATTTTGGAGTTCACAAGTTAAAAAAATGTTCCAATTGTTCTCAGGGATATGTCTGAGCCAGGATTTGCCCAGCCCATCATGATTTGTAAATAAGTGAGAATTCTATAGTGAACAGACATAACTATATTGTGGGCACAATTTCGGTTCAATTATAAAGCGTTATGTATAAGTTAGAATTAAAACTTGAAAGTAAGTTTAATTTTGAATTAATCCGATTGAACAGTTGAACCCAATCACAAAAAGTTTAGGTTGAATTGGCCTAAAAGTGAGCAGGCTTTGAGTTTAAGAAATCATAAACCACTATATATTGGGTTGGGACTAAAACCGACCCAACCCAACCTATGCCCACCCCTAGTAAATAATATATCCTAATTAATTGGATGATTAAGGGAAAAGTCTTCCTCACCGCCAAGAGATAAATAGATTAATGCTAAATGCGTTTCCAATCACACTAACTAATTATATTATGATAGTTGGTAGTATGTCTTCTTTTTTTTTAATACGAAAAAGTTCAATTACAAACAGAACCCATAAGAACATGCATGCCCGAAAAGATCAAAATAAAACCGAAATGACATAGTACCGTATGTCAAATAAAATCCTCTAAGTCATAACAATTTGATTTGAAATACACATATTTTAGTCAGGAACCCCTAGTCACAAATACATTGTATCTTGGCAAATTTATTTTATTTTATTTTTGGGGTCAAGCATCTTGGCAAGGTTTGCTAACGGGCTCAATCATTCATATGCCACAACTATTGTTTGGGCTTCGAGTTGAATTCATAAGCCCACAAAAAGTTTCTAGTTTGAATCCAAACCAACATGCCATAAGGCCCCGTTTGGTTCACATAATAGATTTGAGTGGAAATTACTTCCCATGTCATTTCTCAAGAAATGAGAAATGAAAGATTCCTTTCCCACGTTTGGTAATGTCGAGAAAGTAACCGGGAGATTTCACTTTATTTCCTTTCCTATATTTGTTTTGAGTAGGAATGGAAAACAAAGTTTGTATAATGTTCCAATTATACCCATATTAAATCAAATAAAATAAGAATGCATTTAATGATACTTTGTAATTCTAAATTGTTCATGGGGACAAAATAGTCATGAAAATTGTGCATTGAATGTTGACTCATTTTCCCAAACTTTTCCATGATGAGGGAAAACAAAACCCAAGTTGAAAAGAGGGCTTCACTTTCCCCCATACTTTCCTATGTGCCGCCAGACAACCATTTCCCATACCTGGACTTATCAAATATGAGAAAGCAATTGAATTTCCATTCTCAAGCCTCATTTCCCATGAACCAAACGAGGCCTAAGAGTTTCATTTAGCCAAATCGTTTGTCTGCCTGGTGTCACATGCCACATACATTTTCTTTTCAAGTGTGTATTAGTTATTTAATTCTTGATATCCATACATGGCATATAATATATAATTTTATAATTTTATAATATGTGGAAGAAGCCACCAGAAAGCAGAAAGCAGATCACTAATTAAAGTTGGATTTGTATTCGCCATAAAAACTTACAAAAGAAAAAAAGTGGGATATTTATTCACAAGCTTTCTCTTGCATCAATGCCAATTGCCAAACACACAAACGAAGACTTTAATTGCGTCCCCTCCATTGGCAGAGGCTCCCGAAGAAGAAGACATTCACGAAACAACAAATTTATAAAGAAGATGGTGATATAGCTATTTGGCTCCTTCGCCAGCTCTTCTCCCTCTTCCTATATTCATCCCATGTCCCTTTCATCGAATCTTTGCGTTATATTAACATTGTTTAATATAAGAGAGAGAGGAAACAAACCTAAGACCTCGTGTTGCAAATTAGGAATGACCTTGTTTGACACAGAATCATAAGAGTGTGTACAATTGGGTAATTTACTTGGGTATTTGATGAGCCCGTGAGCCCGTGAGAGGGATATGGACTCTGTACCCAGGTGCATGTTTCACATTTAGGAAATAAACAATGTGTAAACGTTAAATCATACAACTGTTTTCTTTTTATGTGTCCCCTCACTACCCTTTTGATCAAGGGACAAAGCAAAACGTTATAATTTTGGAAGTTTCCCAAAGCTCCTGCCTTGGCTATGTGATGTGGGTCTGCTGCTTTACCTGTTATCCTGTAAACGAGAGGCTCAAGTTCACAAATTGGATCAAGATATGAAGAAAGAAGAGCACTGACATGAACTCGACATAGTCTGATTATGCCTATGCAAATTGATGAATGCATGTCTTATTCAATGGACACAAAATGGTTGAAAGAAGTTTGTATTTATACATAATATGGGACAGCTTGGAGCACCCCACAACTTTTCTATGAATTTTCAAACTCTAATTAAGCACATGCAACGCCCTGCACATCTCCCTAATTGCCACACTTAAGTACCATATAATTAGTGAGAAAAATAATAAACCAGGCACGAGCCGTAACGCAAATGTGAATTAGTCCAGTTGGTAATTTTGGACACTTGATGTGTGCATGGGGCTTAGAAAACTCAAGAAGTTTAGATTGATGCACTTAACAGGGGCTCACATTGAACACAAGGACATGAACCCTAGCTGTCACCCTGGCATGACAAGGAAAGACTAGTATCACAGTTTGGATGTATGATCTTTAAATTTAAGAGAAAAAATAAGAAAAAAAAAAAATCATTGGAATGCAATGCATGGTTGTGTATGGTTTGTAACTCTTGGTAGGTGACGTTATTTATGTCCTCTGCACAACACCAAAATTTCATCAGTTTTCACTTATATTTTTTGTTTTGGTCTTCATTGGTGCTTGTTGTTCTTCTGTTGTGGATGAAAAATAAATGAAAGAAAAAAAATAGAAAATAGTTTCTCTCAAACTTTTCCCTTCAAATGAAAGGAAAAGCAATTGGGTTAGGAAATTTCTGTGAATCTGAGACTCAATTGAGTGGTGGGGTTCATTCAAATGGGAAATTTCTATGAATCTGAGATCCCATTTGGTGGGGTTCACTTGATTTTCTGGGTTTTACAATTGCAAGATTCTGATAGGAGCTTCAAGACTAAATCATGGCAATACGATATTGGCATTTATTGCACACACGTGAATCACATGAAGAGGCATGGAAAGCTCAAATGGCCCCAGTGCCTAATCTTATTATAGCTGAAAGGAAAAATATTCAATATGATGGGATTCAAATGTGAAAGAAGATGCTGATTTGACACATGACGATTCACCATTTTCTCCATTAAATTTTCAGCTGACGATGATCAAAACGTTCACATTTCTCCATTAATAGAAAATAATCACGTTGATTGACTGCCAAGGTCGTCTGTTGATTGTTAAATAAAGAAATACTGTAGACAATTTTATTTATGTCGTATACAGAGAAGTCTGCATGTCACATGCATTGTCAATCGTTTATGTATGAGAGTTCTATAACGAGTCTCACGGGCATCAATATAAAGTTGCATTGTCACCTGTTGATATATGATGAAAGTTTTAAGCATCAATATAATCGCATAGACGACTATCGAAGCAAAGATCCTCTATAAGTTAAGCATATATGATAAAAGTCATGAGGAGGAAAATGGTATGCCAGCTGATGCTACTACTACTGCTGTGTATTGTGTGCATAACGGTGGATTTAGTAGTCTTCTTTCTAAATGTGTTGGCGTTTATCCCGGATTATGGGAAGATATAAATTCTTATTAGATAGGTTAACATATAGTCTTATTCGAAAAAAAATAACAACACATGTGAATGTTGTCATAGACATGCAAATACAATATTATTTTTTCTTATAGGATACAAGGTTATACATATACAAATAGAAAATAGATGTTTTCATTTCAACTAGGAATATCATTTAAAGAAATATTCTTTTTATCTACCACTAGGGGTAAAAAAAAGCATAAAAAATTTAACCTAAGTTATCCTGTTTTATTTTCCAATGAGACAGTGAAGAAAAGTGTCCAACATGCATATAAGTTAATGGAGCTGCAGACAGAAGACTGAGAGGAGTGAAGGTGAAGAATTTATCAGCACAGAATGCGAAGCTTCTCTTTTCCATCATTATTATTACTCTCTTCAAACTGCTGCTCCAATGTCCTCTCCTTGACCGCCTCTGTTTCTACTAAGACTTCACAAACAACTTCACTTGAAACACAAAACCAAGCAAAGAAAATGGATGAGTTTGGTCTTCAAGAGCCACACTCTTTAGCAAGCTTCCAAGAATACAACCCTGATACAATCCCAGATCTCTTTGCCTCAGAATCTGACCACATGCCCTCACACAATTCCTTAAGCTGCTCAAAAGACTCAGATTTCTACTTTGCATTTCGCCTCGAAGCCATTTCTCTGTTTTTACAGGTAAAAAATGAAATAGAAGAAGAAGAAGCAGAAGAAAAGAACACTTGTGAGCTCTGTTTCTTCAGTTAATTTCTCTGTTCTTGCATATTGGTCTAAACTTGTAATAATTTATCAGGCACAATATTCTTGCAACCTTGACCCTTTCATACCATACCTTGCCATCAACTACCTGGATCGGTTCTTATCCAAGCGAGATATTCCGGTAATTAAAGAGCTTGATTTTCTTTAATTTGGTGAAATTCCCAGATAATGTTACATTAAATTCTATGCTTAAATCCATCATTCACATTGCAGGAAGGAAAGCCTTGGGTCTCAAGGCTCCTTGAAGTCTCCTGTCTATCTCTAGCTGCAAAGATGAAGAACACACCCTTCTCCGCCACCGATTTTCAGGTAATTAAACAACCCTTCAATTTTAGCGAAACGGAACTCAGAACATCTATGAAGCAGGCAGAGGAACTAATTTTCTTTTGTTTAATGTATATGCGAAACAGAGAGGGGAAGGCTTCATCTTTGATGCGCAGACAATTCATAAAATGGAGCTTCTCATTCTTGACACTCTAGATTGGCGGATGAGATCGATAACACCCTTTTCTTTTCTGCCGTTCTTTCTCTCTTTTCTGGACTTAAATGACCAAACACTTGCAAAAGCTCTCAAAAGTCGAGCTTCGGATGTCATCTTCAATGCCCATAATGGTAAAAGTGCTTGTTAGTTGTTCAAGTGAAATTTTTGTTTGAATTAGTTATACTTGGAACTCATAATTCTGTCATTTTGTTTGGACTTTGATTACAGAAATTAAGATTGTTGAGTTCAAACCATCGATAATTGCAGCATCAGCGGCCCTATCTGCATGTCAAGAGCTGCTCCCACTGCAGTTTCCATCTTTTAAAGCTTCAGTATCATCTTTCCAATATGTAAACAAAGTAAGCACAATCTTTATAGCGCATAAATTGGCCAGCAAACTTAAAACATCATATAATTTGAAGTTTTCTTTTTCTATACTGCTCTTACATTACAGGAGAGTTTGTTCAAATGCTTGACTTTGGTGCAAGAAATGATGGTGAATGAAGGGTGCGAGTCCATGTTAGATACTTTGTCATGCACAACAAGAACCACAATGAGTGTGGTGGACCGTCAGCTCACCAAATCAGATCAAAGACAGAACACACATACTTCTTCTACTATTATAGCAGAGAAGAGAGACAGCAAGCGGCGCAGATTGAATGGTACTTTGTGCAGTGAAAATAGGTTCCGGCTCTCCCATCATTTTCAAAAGTGCTGATTTGTTTTAGTGTTTAATTGTCTATGCCTCACAATAGTTGATTGTTCTCCTCCTCACTACCAGATAAGCAATGTCCCATTTTTCTGCCCAAAAAACAAAGTATAAATATTGAAGAGAGAGAATTTAATTTGGTTTATGGGGTTTTGAAGTTGGGCAAGGGAAGGACAGAATGGTGTGAGTTGCTCTTGCCCTGTTTGGATTCTTGGGACGAGTTGGGACTTGGGATGTGGGATGATGGGTCTCTTGTTTGGTGGCATCAAAATGTTTCAATAAGATAATGATTTGCTTCAACTGGTAAGAAAAGCATTTTCCTTTTTCCTTTTTTCTTAAAAAAAGAAAAAGAAAAAATGCGTCAACAAGTTTATAACTTAGGTGATTGAGAGTAATTATTCTTATAGCCGAGATTCTGTGTTCGATTTCCTTCTCCCTATATCGCTTGTATTAAAAAAAAAAAGAAAAAAAAAAAGCATTGCCTGGTCAACCTAAAGCATGAACTTAGTAATTAAAGTTGGCGGGAAAAGGCATTTCATGGTCGGATGAAATGAGTAAAATAAAAGGAACGTTGAAGACGCGTAATTTTCATCCACTAAGATGAATGGAGTATCTTTGTCCAAGGGCATTGGCCCATTTATGTGCTTGAAAAGCGACGTAGGAAGTAGTACTAAAGCTTAAAAGTAGTACAGAATGCATGTGAATCCCACACAACAAAACACACACAACCATGATTCATATCACCCGCTGGCATTCCTCAGTCCTCAATATTATTAACTCCCCCATGAATGTGGTTGGGAATTGAAGATACAATTGAATGAACGCAGAATGGCTTCTGCAGATTTGTTGGATTGGTCTTTAAGACATCCATCTCAGGACCCCAGTGGATTTTATTTGTTGCAAAATTACAAATAATGCTGAAATTCTTTCTTCTTTTTATGTTGCTTCAAAATTAAGTGCTACCAAGCAATGATCAAGGACGGCCGAAGATTCAAAAAAAGAAAAAAGGGTTGAATCTTGTGGGCATTGTTACAAAAAAGAAAAGTTAAAGACATTGTGGGATGAGCTATAACTCAGTCAATGGTGCTGACAAACAAAGAAACATATCATGGTGAAGAGTGAGAACTTTGAATGCTCAACTCAAGAACCCTTCTTTTTAAGGACAGAAGCATATAATCTGGTGATGGAGTTTTATTAGCTAGCAGCAGCAAAAATTGAAGTATAAATTTTTCTAGTAATGATTGAGACTCAGTCTGCCTTTTTCCACACACCATTCTCATTACATGGGATGAAACTGAGTTTAGGACACTTGTCTATCTCCAAGTAGGTCAGGCTTGGAAACAATTCTTGCAGTTTCCGCCAATCCATCTGCAACTTTTCCAAGAACTTCAAGCACACCATTTTGACAGCCTAATTGCCTTCTTTCCCGTGACACAGATTTGAGAGGCTTCCACCCCTGATATAGAGCTTCTTTAGGTTATTCAATTCCCATTGCATTAGCCAATCAGGAATATTAGAACCAGGGAAGTAATGGAGGTTAAGTTTCACCAAGGGAAGTTTCACCAAAGGAACAGGAACTGGAGCCATCATCAATGGATTTTTGGGAGTGTCATAAAGTCTTGACCATGATATAGATAAAGATCGGAGCTTTTTGAACTTTGCTCGAGTGTCATAAAGTCTTGACCATGATATAGATAAAGATTGGAGCTTTTTGAACTTTGCCAAAGAAACGAGCTCTCTTTTTGCAGCAACAGACGTTTTGTCCACATGGATACTCAATTTCCTCAAATTTTCCACGCCTGACAAATCAGCCAGCTTACAGTAGTTGCCTCCAGGCCTTGGCTCACCAATCACAAACCCTTTAAGCACTCGGAGTTGTGAGAGCAAAGCAAGTCCTTTAGGCATGTGGCTGATCAAGTAACACTCATACATATCCAAGTGTGTCAGGTTCTTGAGTGAGCCTATCCCTTGAGGGAGCTGCTCCAAATCAACACAACCATTGAGGTTCAGGATCCTCAGATTGCAGAGTTTGCGAATTGAAGCAGGAAGCTCCGTAATTCTAGAGACTCCTCGAAGGCTTAAGTACCGAAGGTGTCTCATATTCTTCAACCCTTTTAAGAACTCACTGTCCTCCACTTGAATAAGAGGCTTGGCTGAGCTCTCCCATCTCCCAAGCTGCAAAACTGCGACGTATTTCATCTTGGAGAACCATTCAGGTCTAAAGTCAAGATTAGGCTCATTCACATTGATTATACTTTGGACCTTCTCCTGTTCTAATCGGTATGGCAATTCGTGTACAGAAGACCCTTCTTCAGTTTTTACAAGGCATGCCCTCCTAGAACAAGTAAAATCTTCAGTGGGATTTCCATTGCTATCAAAACTGAAGAATCCAGCTCTCTTTGCAAGCTTGATCGCAGCATAACGAATAGAAGGGTCCATGCTGCAGCTGTCAGCACTTGGTCTTCGCTTTTTGTACACCTGCTTGATGAGGCCTTTTTCTATGAAGTGTTTGAAGAAATCGTTTGCAGCATCCTCAGCAGTCTTCACTTGAGTGCCTAAAGTGTCTATAAACCCCTCACCAACCAATGGACTAAAACCTTCTTCTTTATGACAGCATTTTCAGGGAACACTGAGAAACAGAGGAAACAGAGCTTCAATGTGACATCTAGACCATTGTACACCGCCTCTATTTCTTTGAATGTTGAACTCTCCGCCTCTATTTCCTGCAATTTGGTTGGTAAATAAACTGAGCGACCATGAAGGTTCAATTCCCAACGGATCATGGAATGTTTTGCACGTTGTAGGCTCTGGGATTTCAAATTGCCTGAAGAGAGTTGCGGAGAAGAATGCAGAGACTTCTTTAACATGGAGACAAGATGGTGAGTTTTAACGAGCTTGTCCCTGAGATAACTGGTTTCTTCTCTACGTTCTTGTGACCTTGTTCTTTGTTTAAAGGCATCATCCAAGGCCCGGAAAACTAAACCTTTCATAGAAATGTTTACTTCATCTTTCTCCCACTGCTTAAATTTCACACAGGCCTTTTTGATGTAGATGAGATCATTCTGAATTTCCTCAAACATCCCTTGCAGGTAGGAGTCCTCCTCAACGATGGTATCATCGCCATTGTTGTTGGTGGTGCTGCTGCCGCTGCCGCAGCTGCGGCAGTGTTCAACAAGCTGTTTCAACTCGGACATTTGGTGGAGAAAATCTGGCATGATAACCTCATTGAAAATTTGGAATGGTGTGACCTGCCTAGATTTCAAGTATGAAAGAAGATCTAGAGACACATAAGGTGACTCAAAAGATGTGGTGACAAGGGCTCGTGTGGACATAGTTGTGAAGAGAAGGAATTGCAACGTTCTTAAAGAAGGAATGGCCCAAATAATGAAGAGAAAAAAGGACTCAGAAAGTTATTGATCATCTAAAAAGGATGAGTTGTAAAGTAGTCATGTGCCCCTCTGTTGAATGATACACAGCAGCACCACTAGGGACCCTTTTTCCAATGGTTTGATTAGTAAACTTTGGCATGCTGCTGCATGGACTTGTCAAAGACTATGGAGTCAAGGTCTCCCATGAAAAAAAGGAGCAGTTGTCAAAAATATAGTCTGTTTGATAACTATTTCAATTTTAGTTTTTAGTTTTAATTTTTTGTGCTAGAGTATAGAGGAAAATGAGAATGAGAATGAGAGTGAGGATGAGATTGAGAGAGAGGATGAGAGGTGAAATTACCTGTAGGATGACTAAAAATTGCTAGAGGGGGTGAATAAGCCAATTTAAAATTATAATCAATAAACAAAAAATAAACTTCAGTAGCATGATTAATATGGCTTATCAGTCTTGAAACGTGCTGAGCATAAAATAAAAGAGCACACAGAATTATTTTACGTGGTAAAACCCCACATCTAAGGAAAATCTACGGGACTCATCAGTCCAACACAAACGATGATTACAAGAATTACTCACACACACTTATCCTAGACACATTCTGGATAATGTTTACTGACTGCTTTGTAACTCAACTTCTGTCATGAGATGATCTTCTGACACTCCTTATGTAAAACATAATACTGGTCACGATTGCTTCAAGCTCGCCGGAGTTCTTCCAACTCTCCTTATGTTGAATCTGATACTGGTCACAATCGATTCAAGCTCACCAGAGAAAAACAGCCACAATGGTCTTAGTGCCCTCAACCGTATGAGTCACCGAACATGCAAATGAATGCAATATGAATGATAAAAATGTTTGATAAACCACCAAGTAAACATGAAACACTTAATTATTTATCTCAAATAAAAATGCAGCTTTTTTAAATATTTAAGCACACAAAATTATTGTTCAAAAGTTGTACACGAAGAAAGACATCAAGCCTTATTTTATATAACTTTTTCTTCTCTTGAAAGAAAAGTCCAAGTCCAAAACACAAGCAATTTCATTGAAGGCTAACCAAATAACCAAAGATATGTTTCCTGGTCAAAACCAAATTACTTGATTTGCATGAATTGAATAACATCAAAAAGATATTTTCCTATTCTAATGATGATCACACGTGAAGCCAAAAACAATAGAAAAGTAAAATCCCAAATAAAGGAAATTTATGATAATCCCACCATTAAATGAGTCCTAATATTCATAGGTCAACTACCAAGAATATCTCAATACTTTTAATAATGTGATCTGATTAAAACTTGATTTGGAAGTAAATTACTTTAAAAGATAAGTAACAAGATAAGAGAAAGAAAGAATAAGTACAAAGATATTGCAAAATATGCCTAAATGAGATGCACTCCTAAATGGATTATAATTGATTAAAATCAAGGAAGATCAAGGAAATAAAATCATATTAGATTCCCAAAAGGTTTCCTATTATGAGTGCATGAAAAATGACGTCTTACCCTTCAGATCAAATGACTCATACGTGTTAAGTCACAATTCTGGAATTCAGGGATTGCTGATAAAACGACCTGACCCAAATTCCACTTTGAAATCCGGGCCGAATCCTGTTTAAAACTGATACCTGGTAACCGTGGGTCGTAAAAAGACCAAAATACCCTGCTAAACAATAACATAAACCCTGAGCCCCTAACTCGTGGCTACGCCTGGTAACTGTAGGTTGCCTACGTACCCTTACTGAGGGATCAAGTCACACGTAGTTCTTTCCTCTGTTCCTGACTTGTAACTGAACTGTTTACTGTAAACCTCACTATAGGGCTGACATTTCTGGAGTATCCGGGATTCTGTTTTACGATCCGTCAAATACTATACGATCCTGGGAAAGTCTAGATTAACATACTTGGAATTAACTACGATCCAACGGTTCAAACGTATTGAACCCGAAAATCGCACAGTAGGCGAGATCCGTTCGGGGTTCAAACGATATCTGAATTAAGCTCCGCGAAATCCTACGCGCTCGTGAGGACTAGGAGATCATTCTAGGACTGACTGTGGTCTCCACCCTGCTGCCCACACGCCGCCACATGCGCTGGCAGCGCATGGTGCCTAAAGCAATAACGCTTTGCCGGAAAATCTCAACATCTCGGCTCAAGACTCCTATCCTAGGTAAAACACCCTATTTGGAACCACTTTTGTTCTTGGACCTACCCCAAAAAGTGGCCGGAAGTGGCCGAAACCGTGATCTCAAAACCGGCTGAACCTTAGGTTCGAAATTAACCCTCTCACGCTAGAAATTCCTCAAATCCTACTCAACCATCAGTTAGAGTATGAAAAATAGCTAGAAATCTATACTTTACTCGACTGATTTGGTGGCCGGAGGAGGGAGAACGAAAGCTCGAAAATTCTGCTAAAACCGGCTATTCCTGGGCTAATTTCGGCGGCTCTTGGCGGTTTCGACGGTGGGGTTTGATCGGAAAGGGAAGGGGGAAGCTGCTCGGTCCGTTTGAGTCCAGTCCCATGGCCCGCCGTGGCTTGTGGTGGCGGCGGTGGCTCTTGGAAGCCACCGGCTGGAGGGAAAATCGGGGGAGGGGGGCGCTCGGGTGCGACGGGAGAGAGAGACAAGATGAAGGTTTTTAAAAAAACTGGCCTTCCAAATTTACTATTTTGCCCTCGAACTTATTTTGACTGTATCTCCTTCAATACAACTCGGATTTGGGCCCACTACGTGTCTACGAATTCATCTCGCTGCGCTCTACGCAACAGTATAATTGAAATTTTCAAATTCCTTCTTGGTCAAAAAGTCAACCTTTGACCTAATAAAAATTCTAAGGGCATTTTAGTCTTTTCTTCCAATAAATTAATAATTAAATGTTAATTTTAGGTTTGGGTTATTACAGCTGAGCTGTTTCAATCCTCTAGTTTCTGGAAATCAGAGACAATAATTTTGCTTCAACCCTACAGCTAAATGACACTTCCAAACCAATACTAAGTTCTAGGAAATGCTAACACAATTTCATACTAACAGGAGATGATGGAAGGGGGAGTAACAAAAGTGAAAACAATTTCAAATAGATTTCATTTTTTATTTTTTGTTTTCACTTTTACTACTCCTCCCTTTCATCTTCTCCTCTCATCTTCCCTCTCAATCCATTCTCCATTCTCATTCTAACTTCAATTTTCTCTTTTTTTCCATTACTCTAGCATAAAAAATCAAAACTAAAAACTAAAATTGAAATGGTTATCAAACGGGCCCTAAAAGAAAGGTGTAATTTGGTTTGTGGAATTCATTTGGGTGAGCAAATTACATCGTTTAAATTGAAATTAACAAAAAGTTCATTTGGTTCCAAAGGGACCAAAATATCTGTTAAATTCAATATACACTTGTCTTGAAGAATTTAGAAGAATCTAGAAAAAAGTAGAAAACTCAAGAAATGTCTATCAACTTTGACAAAGTTAAGCTTTAAGACATAATTGTTGTAGGCTTCTAGAAAAGTCCTAATAAAATCACTTTATTGTTCTTCTATAAAATTAATTAATTTTTATTTAAAAAAAGTAGTGAAAAGGCCACTAAGCCAGAAAATAGGAAAAAGGCCAAAACCCTAAGGGGGGTGTATTCAATTAAGATTTTAAAAAAGTTAAATGGAGTCATAAAGTTTATAGAGTTCAATGTAGTTCAATTGATTTCTATCAACTTCACATAGAGTTTGATTGAATTCCTAGATGGATTTTGATGCTGTTTGTTAGAGTTTTATCGTAGATTTTAAAAGAGTTTATTAGAGTTCTAATATATATATATATATATATATTTGGGTTGTTTATTGTTTTTCTAGATTTTCAAAAGAGAAAAGTACCTTTACATAAACATTTGAGCTATTGAACTTCCAAATGAATACATCCAAAGAAAATTTTAAAAAAAGGGCATCTAATTTGTTCAAATATGCAACCAAATAAGGATTTATGTCTGCATGTTTATGAAAAATGCACAAAAGTAAAAACATAAAAGTAATTTCATACACCCCCCTAAGTAAATTGAATACACCCAAACTTTTACAAACTCTTTTAAAATCTAAATTGAATACACCCAAACTTTTAAACTCTTTTAAAATCTTAATTGAATACACCCCCCTAAGTAAACAGTTTCTAGTTGTTGAAGGCCAATAAGCCTAGTCCTCTATAAAGCCTTGTACCCATCTATTGTTGAATAAATAAAATCACTTTCCTATTCACCCTAAATCCCAACAAGTGGTATCAGAGCAAAGTTCGGTCACCTTGGGCGTAATGGTTTGATATAGTCCTCCATCATGTCTACCGCTAACCAAACTTCTATCCTATTTCCAATCTTTACTGGAGAAAACTATGACTTCTGGAGTACTAAAATGAAGACTTATTTTATGTCTCAAGATCTATGGTACATAGTTGATAGTGGCTTCAATAATCCAGAAAATCCAACCGTGGAACAATTAAGGTAGCTAAAGAAAGATCAGCAGAAGGATGCAAAGGCTTTATTTGCGCTGCAACAAGCTTTGGATGACACTATTTTTCCAAGGATTATGGGAACCACAACATCAAAGGAAGCATGGGATACTTTGAAGGAGGAGTTTCAAGGAAACGCCAAGGTACGTGCAGTTAAGCTATAAACTTTGAGAAGATATTTTGAAAACATTAAAATGAAAGATTCTGAGACCACACAAGAGTACTATGCTAGAGTAAAAGAAATAATCAATCAATTGAAAGCCTATGGAGAAAAAGTTTATGATTCAAGAATTGTAGAAAAAATACTTATAAGTCTTAGTGATAAGTATGATCCACTAATAATTGCCATTAAACAGACAAAAGATATAACTAGTATGTCAGTGACAGAATTAATGGGCTCCCTGGAAGCATATGAAAAAAAGACTGAGTAGGCAAAATGAAAGTCCAGTAGAAAGTGCCTTCCAATCGAAACTAAATTTAAGGTCTCAGAAGTCTAAAGATGATGAAAGAAAATTTGAAGAAAATTCTAGAGAAGTAGAAAATGATCCCCACAATAATTGGGAAAATAAAAGAGAAATTGTGGAGAGGAAAGACTATCCTCCGTGTCAGGTATGCAAAAAGACAAGCCACCAAGAGAAAGATTGTTGGTACTGAGGCATATCAAAATGCTGGCATTGCAAAAGATTTGGGCATATAGAAAAAGATTGTTGATTCAAGAAAAACTATCAAGCTAACTACACAGAAGAAAATGATAAGTACGAGCATGTGTTCTATGCATGTCCAGCACCATTAGAAAAAGACAATACAAATTAGTATATTAACAGCAGCGGCAATGATAGGAAGACAAAGAGACTGCAGCACAATTATCAGTTGGAGCAAAGAATATGGCATCAACAAGATCAGAATATCTAGCAATATAGCTCCAAGTGTGCATTAAGGAGGAGTGTTAAATTTAATATACACTTGTCTTGAAGAATTTAGAAGAATCTAGAAAAAAGTAGAAAACTCAAGAAATGTCTACCAACTTTGACAAAGATAAGCTTTAAGACATAATTGTTGTAGGCTTCTAGAAAAGTCCTAATAAAATCACTTTATTGTTCTTCTAAAAAAAAGAATAGAAAAAAGAGAGAGTGAAAAGGCCAATAAGCCAGAAAATAGGAAAAAGGCCGAAAAACCTAGTAAACAGTTTCTAGTTATTGAAGGCCAATAAGAGCATATTCAACCGATGTGTCAAACGTGCCACATAGACATTTAACAGCTAGAAATAACAGCTTACATCACTCCAATTGATGTGTCAAAGTTGATGTGGAATGAAGGCAGGAGGTTGAGATATTATTTTTGACATCCGAAAAGCAAGATGTCAAATGAATATTTTATTATTTTTCTTTTCTTTTCTTTTTAATTAAAAATGAATCAGCACTAAAATATAATAAAATAATAATTTAATTTGACATATCGGCTGGAGTATAAAGCTGTGAGCATCTCCAATGGAGATGTCAAATACCAAATATCAAATTTAAATTTGATGGCTGATGTGGCAATTTGACATTTACACAGTTTTACACTCCACCCGATATGTCAAATAAATAATTATTTCAACAGTTAAATCATTTAAGATAAAGAAGAAAATAATAATAAATGAAAATAATAAATGAAAGTAACAGCCAGCTGTCTTTAAAAAATATTGGTTTTGGGATGTCAAAAATAACGACTAAACCTCCAGCCTTCATTCCACATCAGCTTTGACAATTCGATTGGAGTGATATGAGATATTATTTCTAGCCGTTAAATGTCTATGTGATACTTTTGACATATCGGTTGGAGATGCTCTAAGCCTAGTCCTCTATAAAGCCTTGTACCCATCTATTGTTGAATAAATAAAATCACTTTCTTATTCACCCTAAAATCCCAACAATATCAAGAAAATAAACTGCAACAAAGTTGTGATTCATTTCAACCATCCCCTTCTAAAGAAATGAAAAGCCAAGCCCATATGATTTTCATTTGGTTCCTTTACTTAACTGCCACCATTTTGGTTCCAGCTTGGTTTTCCAGCTCATAGAATTGTGTTCCCAAGCCCAGATGATTCATCAGTAGCCAAGTGAAAGTCAGAAGTTCTCCACCCCTACTTGGTTGCTGAGCATGCACAATTGGTCTACATTTAATGGAAGCATAGGACAATAATTCCACCCACACTCGGCTCATTAGCTTCCATGGGTCTGCTTCGACCTCTTCAAGCTGTTTTACTAGGAAACATGCATCGAACAACAGAGATTTGCTTTTACCCTTCACAGCGGCTGATCTGAATTTGGCTTCCACAGCATTAATCTTTTCACAAGCTTTCCCATGATCAGTTATTTTGTGCTTGAAAAAGAACCTCTTGGCCTCTGCACGTGTGTCCTGGAAGACTATATGCCAATTCCCCAAAAATGGGGCCATCATATTATGCTGCATCACCAGAAGATAAAACATATAATCTGAAAGTAGTTTGCAAATTTCTCTTCTTTCCTTGTCAGCGTTGTGCTTCTTTTTCGCAAAGTAGAGTTCCGTTGCTATGTGCCACAGAAGAACACTTTCTGCATATTGATATTCCCCTACACTCCATTTGACTTCCAGATAGTTTGAAGTCTGCAGGAGAGCCCAGTCACCTCTTTGTGAAGATGCCTCCACGGCAGCTCTTCTGTTGTTTGCTTCCAAAGATTTATCCTCAGCTGCTTGAACAAAAATTTATTGACATCTTCAGTGACTGCCTCTGAGGTTGAAAAAAAACAGACTTTTATTTTATCTAGAATTCCTCTAACGCCCACATAACCAGCAAAAGTGTACACCCATTCTGGATGCTCATCCAGGCAATTGCTTATCATATTATACTTGGACACCGATCCAGACCACCTTCCTCTTTTCGGTTTCAATATCACTGCAGCAATATATGATCTGCTCCAGATGTTGTTGAAGGCAATGACTGTCCAGTCTGAACAAATGAGATTCAACACAGAGTGTCCAGGATTATGGCCCCAGTAAGCAAAGCATAGGTAAGAGCAATGTCAAATTTATCAAACTTATGTTTTCCAACTAAAGCAAATAACATCAAGGCACCAATTGTTGAACAGAAGGTAAGTAAGCAGAGAATGTACCCAACTTTGAAACTTTCAAAGAAGCAATATGCTTCCTGCAGTAACTGCACGTCATCTAGAGATTCTTTAAGAACTCCTTCAACTGTAAATTTGGGGTTTTTATAATTCCCAATGTGCATTGGCCTTATTGGCAGCTCTACTTGTGTTGGAACTTCGACTGACCTCATTGTAGAGTATATTTCCACAGCCTCTTCATAGTCAGGCCCAGGCTCGGGCTCTGGCAATACAGTCTCTCCAAAATGGTCCAAGCTAGCAAGATACAGAACACATGTTCTCTCCCCAAACTTGATAGTTCCCACAACAAACACTACTGTTGGGAACCAAAGCTTGTTTTAAAAAAGTGTCATATAGAAGCTGTAAGCAGCTGCCAGGACTTGTAGAATGAGTTGAATCAAATGCCTGAGCCAGAACGAATGAGTTGAATCAAAAGAAGTAATAGTATCAGGGCCACCAAGATGCACTAAAAGACATGAAGCCCAGAATGCTAAAAGGTCTTTATTCTTTCCAGAGTCACAAGGGTCAATCCAGATCAACACTACAATCAATTTGCTTCTGCATTTTTGCCTGAGTGGTGCACAAAAAAATAAGAAAACTTGAAGTGCAAGGCTCAAGATAATACAGCCCCTCAGATTCCATTCATTCCATATCTTCATGACCTCCTTCGGTATAGGTAGCTCCATAGTTTTCATCAAACCCCTTTACCTTGGTTAAGCTAGCAAGCCTGGCCTAGTCTCTGTTCTGCTTCATATGAGCAACCAACTTATGCACTCTCTCTTGATTGCACGACTTTTTCTCTGGATTGACTTAAAAGAGACATTGTACCACAATCATATGGTAATTGCTTTAGCTATTCCTGTGGAAATTTCTATCCTCATTCTCTTTGGGGTGATATACTTCAATTCGTACCGACTTTGAATAGTCAAGTCAAGTACCTTTCTTTAAGATGCACCTACTAGGAAGTTGGGTTTAGCAATATGAATGCAGATATTTCACCTAAAACTTTCATGGTATCCAGCTGCAGAGAAAGCTCGTGTGGGTTTAGTCAATTGTTGTTTTGTTTTTTCTATTAAAAAGTAAAAAGACTTGTCTTTCTCTATTGCTTTTATTATAGTAAGTCGTTTTTACAGGTTTGGAGACTTTGAACCATGTAGTGGTGTCATTTCCTTTTAAACAGTCTCATTTTTACAATCATAATTATATTTTCCTTCATGATCTTGATAGACAATGCATCTAAAACTTTCATGGTATCCAGCTGCAGAAAAAGGATTTCTCTTTCTGTGGTGTTGATGGTTTAGTCAATTGTTTCGGAAAAAAAGAAAAAAGAGTTTTGTCTTTCTCTGAGTACTAGTGTCATTGTCTTCTAAATAGTTTCTTTTTTACCAGGAAGCAGATGAGACGACTGACTTAAAGCATGATTTTGGACCAGAACTGAGGCCCCTCCTATATTTATAGTCTTCTAATAATTTGGGACCACAGCACAGTCTCAGTCTATACTTTGTTTAAACGAGAATGTTCAAAGAAATCCCACTAGAAAGAGCTAAGCTAAAATGGAGTTTGCAACTTATCTTGGCCTAAGAAGAAGTCACCTAAACAGAAACGACTATACCGGGTCAAATTGCTTCATCTGAAAAAAAGAAACATAAGACAACAAGTGTATTTTTATTTAGGATTCAGTAATATTTCATTCACTTATTAGGATTCAGTACAAATGTCTCATGAGAAAAAAGATTCATATCATAATTAAGATTAACTTCAAATAGTTCTATCCAATACAAATTGCCATTTACTTCCCCACAATGAGTTTTGCTCTAGCATGGCCCTCATTTATTTGGAACTGCTCCCCTATGCCAAAATGAGCCATCAATAACCAAACAAAAGTGACAAGCTCTCCACCTTTGCTCAGCAATTGAACATGGTCATTTGCTCTGCAATGACCGGCAGTATATGAGAGTAGTTCCACCCATACTTTACTCATTAGCTCCCATTTCTGTTCCTTCTCCATCAATTTTTTGGCCAAAATACATGCATCAAACAGAACGGATTTACTTCTATCCCCTTTGACAGCAACAGGTTCAACTTCGGTATTCACCTCAAGGATTCTCTGACAGGCCTCTAGTTGTTCATCTCCACCTGATCTTCCTGACCCTAGTTCTCTTCTGCTAAAGAATTTTTTGGCTTCTGCACACGTATCCCGAAATCTAATTTGTCCAATTCCTGCTACAGAAGACGTCAAAGTGGGCTGCATAACTAAGAGATATAACATATAATCCGACAGGGCCTTACTGATTTTACGGCCATCTACATCGCTCAGCTCCATGTTATAGCAGAACTCAGTAGCAATGTGCCACAATAGAATGCTCTGATCATAATCAACTTCAACAATATATCGTAGTAAGGTACTGTGTTCAGTATTATTCCAATCACTATCCTGGAGAACCCAGTCACCTCTTGCCGAATATATTCTCTTGGCTGTTTCAGGATCATCTGCAAGCCTGGATTTACTTTGCAACTCCTTAAAAATGAATTCCCATAACACTTTAGTGAGTGGCGTGCTGTGCCTATATTTCATTTTATCTCGAAGATCCTTGAGGCCCAAGAGATCGATGATTTTAATGTAGGCAATGCCAGGGTAGTCAAAAATATTAGGAAACATTTTTTCGCGTTCCTTGAGGGAGTAATCTATCAAGTTGAATGTAGAGATGGATTCATACCACCTTCGAAACAGGATTTGTCTAATCCAGTCCAAACAACTTGTATTTTTAGACCAATTTGGTCTCTTGAAACTGAGGTACTTTTTTAGAATAGTAGCGACAAAAGATTTTTGCCAAGATTTTGTCAGAGCTGCGACAGTCCAATCAGAGAATATAAGCATGAAAAGAGCTATTGAATCCAGGCCTAAAGCACCAAAAAGCAGGGTATAGGTAATTCCAACATCAAACTTATGGTAATCGTGTTTCTCTAGTTTATAGAAGAAACCAAGGGCTATGGAAACCGCAGTGAAGGATATAGCCCGGAAAATGCATCCTTGCGTAGAATGCACCACAACAGCCTTGGTGAAGAGAGCTTCATATACAAAGTTGAGCTCAATTGCAATCAATCTAAAAGCATCTTTTGCCTCTCTTTCTTGGAAAAATGCACGGCTCTCAAAGCGTTCGTGGAAGCTAAAAATGAGATCCACAATAAGACCCCTGAAGATTTTATAGAAGTGGTAAGCATGTCGCACCATTGCAATATCATTCTCCATATCACCTGCTTCCGCAACATAAGTTACTGTCCTGGATTCTTTGCTGCGTTCTGCTGTCAACTCTATATGAGTTGGAAGTTTGGCTTCTTTTTTTGAGGAGTACTCCTCCATGAGCTTTGCATAATTGGGTCCAGGGTCAGGTGTTTTAAGCATGGATTCCTTGAAATTGTCCAAGCTTGCAAGATACAAACCGCGTGTGCGCTCAGCATACTTGATGGTTCCTGCCAGAAACAGGAGGATTGTTGATGGCCACAGCTTGTTGGTGGGAAATGATTGAATGAAGACATATATGGCAGCTATAACTTGGAATATGAGGCCAAGAAAATGCCTTAGCCACAGCGTGTTATCTTCAAGAGCAAACGCAGTAATGGTGTCTGGACCACCAAGGTGTAACAAGAGAAATGGAGCCCAAAATGCCAAAAGATCCTCATTGTTATCGCCTGTACCTCGAGCATTGCCTTGGCTGTTTGAGATTAACCCAATTGCAAAGTTAGCAGCCCAGTCAGCCAGCAAATAAGATGACCAGATGGTGAAGATTATTGCCATGTTGGGTGCTCGCTTTCTGAAGGGTGCACCAAGAATTAAAATGGTCTGCAATGTGAGGCTTAAGAGGATAAAGCCCCGGAGGTTCCACCTTTCCCATAGCTTCTTGACGCTCGTAGGAATGGGATTTATGGAGGAAACCATATCCTAGAAGTTCAGCAATTGCAAAGTTTCTACAAATCAATTAAGCACAAGGACAAATTTGAAATTCTCTGCTTAATATGATATTAAATAAACATTAGTAATGGTATGTTGGTGATCAAACGTCTATCGATCACCGGATGGGATCTTTTCAATTGCAAAAGCACATAATGAAAAGAAATTCAGTTTTCCCTAATGGGTATTGTAGCAGGAAATCTAATCATTATGGATGGTGAGTGGCCAAAACTGCAAAAGTTACTTACTACCTGCGGCTTTGTAGTTTTGGGCTAGCCAGAAGTAGATTTAATCACTAGCTACCCTAGTTGTTGGAAAAAACAAGACTGACCTCAACTTCACTAGGATGGCAGACACTTATGGGATAAAAAAGGGTGCCTCCCAAATTGCCAATTTCACCTTCGTTCATTATACTGAGCATACAGTGAGGCTTTTGAAGAACAAAAACAACATAAAATGGAGTTTCGGATACATTTAACAACACACCCTATTAAAAAAAAGAAAAAGAATTTAACTGAAATGTATTCATAGACAAGCTCAAACAAATTTTCGGTAATCAGGATATTAAGTTGATGATAACATGCATAGCAGGGTGTTTAAAAAAGATTAGCACAGTGTATAATGTGATTAACGGTTCACAAACTACAGTCCACAGCCAACAATAATATTAGCAATTTGGCAACAGAGAAAGCAACACCAAATAAACAATTCATGGCAAACCAAAGTCTGAAGCACAAACCAATTAAGCAAAGAAACAAGGCCGAAAATGAAGATAAGAAGAAGGATAGAGGAAAAACCTGCTGGGTTGAGTGGACTTGAAGCTGAAAGTCTGAAGCACAAACCAATTAAGCTGTGCAGAAGGCTAATGAAAGTGTGCTTAATTTCCTGTTGGTCCAGTACTGATATGATACTTCTCAGCCATGCTAATTGCTTGCTGGCAGTCAACTCTAAGTCATACTATGCTTGAAAGTTTGAAACTAGCTTCATTGAAGCTAAATAAATACTAGCAGGGAAAAGTCCAAACAACATGGGGAACATTGTGGCCCAGCCCAGCTGTCAAAGTAAGACTTGAAGGTCACTGTCACTAAAGCCAACTGAATTTAATTAATACAAATTTATAATTAATTATAATTATCTACAATTACATTCGGCATGAAGGTCACTGTCACTGTCAAAGTCACTCTGGCTTTTTGACTCACTTATCTACAATTAATTATAATTACCAATGTAAAATGTTAATATATTTATGAAGGTGAAAACTTCTACTTACCAAAATGGAAAGACCTTATCAACGTCTGATTAGAAGAAATTTTTTATGGGTACATAAGGGCATATGCTAGCTATTTAAACTTTCATGAGCCAAAATCAACTACAAATCCAGGCAAGAGATCCCGCTGGAGAGCTAAAGCTAGAATGGAGGTTGGCGCAATCATGTAATTACACGAACGGAACATCAAGAAGCCAAGCCACCTAAAGATAAAGTATTACATTCGGCATTAATACTTTCACAACTTTTCTTTTTCTTTTATACTTTCCACAGCTTGTATTGGACAGTTGGAAAAAGTTGATGCTCAGTTTCTCAATGAAGGGATTGTCTTGATTCGATCAATTCCTTTGTTGCCATCACTTAATCACTGCAATTTTTCACGTTAAATGTTCCTAACAAATCATGATGGACACCAATTACCGACCCTTTAAGAACTAGGAGTTCTAAGACCAATTATTACCTTAGTCTGCAGGTTTTCTGGATCCAAACCAAAGTCTAGTTGTCAATATCATATGAGAAGAACCTTTCATTAAACGCAATCTCCGATTCTTCTTAAAAGGTTCCTATCAGATCAAAAGTTGAGACTCAACTCAAGGCATGCATCTTGAAAATGGTAAAGAGAGTAAACAGCATAAGTTACGTACAGAATGAGTAGGCTATACTTCATCAGGAAAAAAGAAGGAAGGAAAGAAAGAATGATAGGCTGTACTTCATCAGGGAAAAGAAAGAAAGAATGAGTAGGCTATACTTCATCAGGGAAAAAGAAGGAAGGAAAGAAAGAATGATAGGCTGTACTTCATCAGGGAAAAGAAAGAAAGAATGAGTAGGCTATACTTCATCAGGGAAAAAAAAGAAAGAAAGAAAGAAAGAAAGAAAGAAAGAATGAGTAGGCTATACTTCATCAGGAAAAAAGAAAAAGAAATCCGACAGGGTCTAACTGAATTCAAGACCAGCATTGCTTTTGTCCATGTTATAGCACAAGTCAGTAGAAATATGCCACAAACAATAGAATCCTGTGGTCAAAATTATCAAAAATCTCAGGAAGCTTGCGGCCAAACCCTCGTTCGTGGAGCTTTGGTGTGAAGCTCTGAGAGCTATGCATAAATCTCGCGGGTAAAAACTGTTCGCGGTATTGTACAATGAGAATGGGGTATTTCCCCTAGCAGGAAACGTATAGTCCCTGTAGAATCTCTATTGGGGAAGACGGAATTGTCCCATACTTGTATCAACACAAATTAAAGGCGACTGAATCATCAGAAATAATAATAATAATTAAAAAATTAAAAAATAATCCGCCTAGGCGCTAGGCGGTTCTGGGTGTTTTTATTTTATTTTTTTATAATAGATTATTATTTTTTCCTGAATTTAACAAAATCTACAAGATTGATTATAACAAAATCTCTCCTAATCGATTCATCAACACCAGGATGCCTAACCTTTACGCCAACTGAAACTATTAATCTGCAGAAACAGATACATAATTTAAAAGGGTCGCATGTCTGTTTCTCTATAAATATTCGAAGAGTATAGCCGGGTGGCTATACTATTGAAATATCCAATATATTGAAAGAGTATAGCCGAACGAGTATAGCCGGGTGGCGATACTATTTAAATATTCAAATATATTCAAGCCTATAGCCGTGCGGCTATACGATTAAAATAAATAGTATAGCCGAGCGGCTGTACTATTAAATAAATTACAGAAATAATTTCAAGCTCAAGTTTGGACTTCCATTGTTTGTGTGTCAGATTGGTTCCTATCCCGACCAATATCTCGGTTTCGAGGGTGGAAATTTTGAATCCACCTAGTTGGCATTTTATATTGCCGATGAGGATTGCCTATATTTTGTTGATTCAGAGGTATGCATTGACTTGTAAGTTGTGATATGTGATTATGATGCTGGGGCTCTTTTGCATAGTTTTGTAACTTTCCAATTTACGTGTGTGGGTCTCTATCTACTAAGAATCATGCCATCAGGAAAGCTGATATCAGTGATATGGGGAGGCTGGTTTTAGAAACCCTATCCAGTTGGCGATACTAATAAGAGTAATCAATTTTGGTCTTGGATCATGCTGAGTCTAGGTTTGAGAAGTAATATACAAGGTCTGAAGAATTTGATTTACAATCACTAATGTTTCCTTGTCGTCAGATCAAATCCATTGACGATGGTCTCTTCATTATGAACCCAAGCTAAAACGAACCCTTCAAGTGCTATTGTTTCCTAATCAATAATCCGCGGCCACTTGTCTTTAAATTTTAAGTGGTATTCCATTTGACTGAAATGTGTTTCACTTATTTTTTCATTCATCATCATGTTATTAGGAATGAACTTTTAGTGCTTATTAGAGATGGATTCTAAATTTGGCTTCAGGAGACATAAAAGAAGTAGTCAAAGGTTTGTTTGTTTTTAAAAAAAAAACGCTTTTGACACTTTGTTTATATTACATTTCATTGAGTCTAACATCAGAATTTAAAAGGGTTCCCGGAGATTTTGGAGATCTGTGGACCGCAGATCATAAAAAACGTAACCCTGTTAAAACATATGCCACATGATTGGTTGCAACAGCAGCCGAATGCCGTCTGTTCACCAGAGAGGCTTCCATATGCTGGTCTATTAGCTTCGCTGATCACCTTTGCAGAATCACGTAAAGCTTTGTGACATGGCTACCATTTTTACTGGATTATGTTTTTTTTCACTTCATGGTGAGTTTGTTTTGTACTTTCTCTATAATACTCAATTACTCATTTCAATGCATGTAATTTGAAGTTGGATAGAGGATTTTGAAACTAAGTGAAGAATCTGGAGTATGTTTGACCTTCAAGTTTTCAATTTTTGGCATCCTTGGAATACCTTATTGGTTGTCTTCCTCTTTGGAGAAAGTTTAATTATGTTGTGTATGTTTACAAAGACAACAACATGCTAACTAGTTTCTTTTATACTTTCATTATGTGACAATGAATTGCGAATTGTTTTCTCACGAACTCCATGTTTTTCTTCATATTTTTGGGTGATTTAACAGTGCTGGTGGACATCAGGGAGAGATTGATCATTTTCAATGCTTTAGTTTGTTACTAGGTATTGTTCTTACTCTTAAATATGCTTCTGCTATTCCTTGATTCTGTATTTCACTCTTTGGTGTGATATTTGAATTGGTTCGGCCTATATTTTCTTGATATTTCCAACTGGAATAGTATCGCCTTGCCATGATTATTTATGATTAAAGTTAAGCAAAAGAGCCATGTTTCCTGAAGATGTTAGAGAATATTTCAATTTGGTGCAATGTTGTGCTAGTTGTTTGTCTTAGCTTACTCGCATCTTATTGTTGGCATCAAGTCAACATCCTCGACCCAGAGAGAAAAAATGATTTTGCGAAACATGCAGTGCAGATATACAATTGTCTGCCAGTCGTTGCTAATTCCTTTCCCAGTATTAGTTCTCATGTAGAGTAAGCTGTTTTGGTAATCTTTCCAACTTAAAAAGTTAATGCTTCTTTGATCCGAGTTAGATGTTGAAATATTCGAATATATTTAAGAGTCTAGCCGTTCGGCTATACTATTAAAAAATTCCAATATATTTAGCGAGTATAGCCGGACTATTAAAATAATCGAATATATTTAAAGCGTATAGCCGTTCGGCTGTACCGGTAAAATATTCGAATATATTTACCGTGTATAGCCGCTCGGCTATACTATTAAATATTCGAATATATTTAACGAGTATAGCCGGACTATTAAAATAATCGAATATATTTAAAGCGTATAGCCGTTCGGCTGTACCGGTAAAATATTCGAATATATTTAACGAGTATAGCCGTTCGGCGTTACTATTGAAATATATTCCAATATATTTGACTAGTACAGCCGATCGGCTACACTCTTAAAATATTCAAATATATATTGAAAGATAGGAAATGACGATTTCAGGCCAACTGCGATTGAGGCCGTGTTGGAAAATCCCCAAATCCCTAACCCCAGCACTCTGTTAGATGAGTAACGAGAGGGGAAATGCACTACTGTGCTCCCAATTTGTCCAAAAGTAGGTAAATACTAGCTTCTAAACTAGAGGAAAACATTCCCATGCTAATGGAGTTTCAAAACGTTCGACGTACATACGTTAAGATTCACATGTTCATGGAGTTTCGAAAATGTTGGATATATGGTTTGACATACGTATGTAGTTCGGAATAACATGGTATGCTGTGAGTGTGCTTGTTCCACAACACCAAAAGCCGCAAGGTCTACAAGTTAGTAGTAGCATCCTAGTTCCTTCAAGTTCTGATTGATAGATTGCTTCGAGTCACTGTGATATTGGTATCTTACTTAAATCTTTCTGATTAAAAAAGCTTTCCCCTGTTTGGTGTAATTCTTTGCTCTTGTATAACTGAGTTGTATTTCGGAAAGTAGAGGATATATGGTTCCATACTTGAGAAGAAATATATTGCTCCACAAGGTTCTTGTGGAAAACATACGGGGACAGAGATTTTATATCATAAGAATCCTTTTCCTTCATAGAAGAATCTCCAGTTTTGGTCTGGTGTTTCAGGGCTCTAGTTTTGGCTTAATCTATCTTCTTTTTGAAATAAAATTCTTCATATCCGGTAACCATACATTGCTTGCTTTGGCTATCCTGTGGTAAGTAGTTTTCTCATTCTCTTTCGGGTGGTGTTCAACTCAAGTACCCTTTTCTGAGATGCACCTACTACGAAGTTGGGCTCAGCAAATATGAATGCAGAAAAAGTCCTTGCGAGAAAGGATTTCTACTACTGTGGCGTTGATGGTTTAGTCAGTTGTTGTTGTTAAATAGTATAGCCGCGCGGCTATACTATTCGATTATATGTATAGCCGTAAACATTAGAAATATATTTTACGCGTATAGCCGGCCGGCTATACTATTAAAATATTCCAATATATTAATCGGAATATATTCACATAGTATAGCCGCGCGGCTATACGTTTAAATATTCGAATATATAGGATATAGCCGCGCGGCTATACTAGCCATACGTTTAAGTATTCGGAATATAGCCGTGCGGCTATACTATTAAATATTCGAATATATTTAGCGAGTATCGCCGTTCGGCTATACTAAAAATTGGGGTAAGGGTCGTTCACTTTCTAGTCTGCAGTTTTTCTGTACCCATCAGCAATTTGCTCGACCCTCTTTTTTGCCATTAAACCTCTTCTTTATAACCTCATTTGCAGGGAACACGACGAAGCTTGGTGGTAATGTAACACCCCAAAACTGGTGTTATAAACAAACAGAGAAACCTTAATACCCAGGCTATTGTAAAAACCCTTGCTCTGTTTTAGAACGTAACCATGGCGGTTTCGCTGACGCTCTCAGGGTTCAAGTTTCGTCGGAACTGAGAGTAGACAGAGACGTGGCTCAAGAAAACAAACAAAATCTCAAATGGAATTTAATAATGCAAAAAATTCCGTTAGTGGGTTTTAGATTTCAGTTTCAGTCATCAATTCAATCCAGCGGGGAGGATAGGATTTGAATGCCCTCTGCAGCTCTGCCACGTCCGGCAGCGTTTTACCTACGATTAAATAGTCAGAGTTACATAAAGTTATCAACAAAGCTTTCATAGCTCAGTTGGTTAGAGCACCCGTTTAGTAAGCGGGAGGTCTTGAGTTCGACTCTCAATGAAAGCAAATATTTTCTTCATTTTTTTTTCCCTATTTTGAGCCTCTCTTCCTGATCCTAATTTGAACAAACATTTTTTCCATTCATTCAACAAGGTTTCCTCCATTGTAATTTGTAACCAACCCTAACCTTTATACTATCATTAGAAGGCATTGGATTGAAATTGACATGAAATGGCAAGACATACCATTCCCATTGGTTCCAAAGTTGAAACAAACTCCTAACTATTGGCAAAGAATACATTTTCAGATTCCATCTATTTCAGCTTGCATTGATAAATTAACCCAATAATCATTGGAGGCATCATTGTATGATGAACCAGAAGGGAATATGGGCTCTTGCAGCCAACTCTGAGTTGGAGGATTGGATAATGTGAATCCAGGATCTGTAAATACTGCCTCAGAATCCCGCACAATGTGTGACTCAGCCCACAAACTTTGTAGTTCACCAAATGTTTCAGATGCACAAATGTTCTGCTCTGCAATCTGGTCTTTATTATGATCACCATGAACAGGACCAGAGCCTGTTGAAGTTGTCTCCAACTTTGATGCTTTTGAAGCTTCACCCAGAAGAAAGAGTTCAGTTTCAGAAAACTTCTTCTTGTCACTGAACACTTGTGCTTCTTGTACTGGTTCAGTCGCCTTGAAGCGTTTTTTCAAGTGGGTGTGCCAGTAATTTTTAATTTCGTTGTCTGTTCTTCCAGGAAGTGTTGCAGCAATAGCAGACCATCTAGAAAGAAAAAAAAATTGGATGAAACTACACAAATTGCTTAATCAGAACATGGATTTCCAGTCCCTCCTAAACTGAAACTTGCATGCTTATTCTTTCATGAAGTTTTTAATGCAAACTCATAAGTTTTGACTGGTAGATAGTTATACTTACCTATTTCCCAATGTTTCATGCAACTTGAGTATGGCCTCCTCTTCCTCCTTGCTGAAGCTTCCGCGCTTAATATCCGGCCTCAAGTAATTCACCCAACGAAGCCTACAACTTTTCCCAGACCTTGCCAGACCTGAAACATGGCAGACTATTATCATTGACATCAACTTGAACCCCAAAAACAAACAGAAACTAAGTACCAAAATGAAAGGAAACCTCTGAATGGCTTCATAGTTTCATACCAGCAGGTTTTGGCATCTGACTCCAATTCCAAATACCATATCTCTGAATGTAAGCTATCAACTTGTGATCCTCATCAGGGTTCCATGGCCCTTTCTTCACAGCTGCCTTCTCACACCGCTGACTCTTCACCATCTTCTACACCAATCTATCTTTGTATCTCTGAATCAATTAGTTTTCCCAAGTTGGTTTCTCAGCCTCTGCACTCAATTCTTCTTATGTCTTGAATGTGCCCCAAATAAATTTATGACCACATGTGCCTAGCTGGATATGTAAAACATGTCACCAAAGTCCAAATTCTCCAATAATTAGGAAGTTTTTCAAAGGAGATGAGCACGCAGAAGGGTGCTTCAGTATATCACTTAATATTTGTTTTGATGACATTCATTCAGTGCGGAATTTTATTTTTTATTAGTTTGACTATACAAGCAAATATTACAAAGTCAATCCTGTCAACTTCCTTCCAAACGTTAATGCTGTTGCCATCACCCCACCATATCCCATTCCTATATATAATTAATTAAGACTCTGAGAGGAGCATTAACTTATTTGACGATGGAAAGATGAGTTAAGCTGTTAATTAATTAGTATTATTATTATTAGCCAGAATAAATTAGAAAATAAAATTCAGGTAATATTTGTTGAGCATTATATCTTTTCTTTTAGATGGAACAGTGGTCAAAATTGTTCAGCTAAGCTTCCTTAAATATCTTCTTTAGTCAGCAAAAGCATGCATGTTCATTTTGATATAGCATTTACGTGCAATCCTTAGCTTTGAAATTTCATCGCAATAAAAATTCATTTCATAAAAAAAATCAGAGTAATATTCTTAATATTTGATTGGTGTTTTGGGAGGCCTAATTAAATTAAATTAATTATAATTTATAGATAGGGTTTAAATTAAATTACAAGTGTGGCGTAGAAAGTAATATACAAAGACAATTGTACAAGATGACAAACAGTACATCAACTTTGAACTTCATCAGTCTAAAACACGAGGGATCGATTACTACTTGCACATGATCAACATACTAACTATAATATAATACGACTATTAGTCTATTATATAATGGTGTAGCTACATCAAATTTAAATTAAATAACCCAGCATCAATATAATTTTAATTGTTTGATTTAGATTTTGGTGGACATTGAGGACTAATTTTAAATTTGATTAACAATTGTGTTCTGAATTTCTTCGAAGTCGAAGTCGAAATCGATGTTTTGAAGAACTTATTAGTAAATGAAAAAAAATGGGTGTGTAACACATGCTGATATAATTATGAAGTTTCTCAATTTCATTGACTATTTAATCATGTAATTATGCACTAACCACCTTAAAATGGATTGCCATTTCTACTTTACATATATTACACTTCTTCGTTTTGCATATTAGATGCAAATTATTGGTTTGCATACTTGTTCAAAATATATGAAGGAATTTTTAAGCTATGACTAGGCCCAACTTGAGCTTTAAGCCATTCCCTGTTAACTGTTCCAATCAATTTCATTCTACCCTACTTATAATTAGCGCAAACCAAAATATAGTTTAATTTGGGAAACGTTGTGATGAGGAATATATAATCGGCATTTCATTGATCGGCGATAACAATAATGATAACATGTTCTACACCTAAACAACATTACAACCAAAAAAATCCTAGAGAATGGGGATCAATCTGAGAAACCCCGTAACATGTACAAATACATGGTTATCATCATGCACGTAGATCAATGAAATCTTCCTCATCAAATAATCATCCAGAGCAGATCACCTTCCATAGTTGAAAACACAGCAATCACAAAGGCGGAGCAGGAAACTCAAAGCAGCTCTAATTCCCAGTGGCAACCCACAGCAAAATCCTGAATGCAAAATGCCGGCATTCCATAACGCAGATAACCCTTCCTTGGGGAAGAAATCAAACCGAAAGTCAACTTCCAATCATAGCTGTAGCCACTTTCTGGAATGGTAAATGCCCAGCTTATTAAACTCATCAATATTCACAACAACCTGTGCTCTTTTACAAGCTTCAGGGGTCAGGGGATTTGATTGACACAATAGGAGGCGGTTGTAGCTCAAAGATCGACTTTCCTCCTTCTCCAAGGCTACCTATGTATATTGTATCACCCCGACCATGCCAGGTGCCATCTTGGACATTGTTCATCTCCAATGTCCTGGATTCCTGTTCACATTTCAAGAATACTATCTATAAGTTTTCAGGAATAAGAAGCTTAATCAAAATTAAGCCCTATGTCTACTTTTAACTTTTGGCAACTATCTTGTAGGCCCAGGTTCCGCAAGGATAATCACCTGACATAATGCACAGCATGGGCAGATAAGATGGTAGATGCAATCATCCAAGGAACTATCACTACCCTGAAAATAATAACATTTCCCACACAACAATGTTAGTGTAATTCAAGTATAACCATGCAAGACAACCAACAGAAGGCATAAGTTAAAAGATTGTGAAAACTTTATCGCAATCATATCATAAATACCAGGAAGGTACGTAATTAGTAGATTCACATGGAACTATCTTCTTTCCTAAGAATGCATGGATTCATAACATTACACTTGCCAATGGTCAATCATATAGCGATAGCACCCTCTCTACAATAATAGAAAATGCAATCCCTCTACCCAACCACACCCAAATTTTCTCTATTTTTCTATAGCATGTAGCTTTTGCACCCTTGAATAACTATTCGAGTTGTAAGATTTAAACCTTATAATTGGAATTAAAACGAGAGAGCAACCTTAATGCAGAAGAGTACAGGATTAAAAATATGAACAGACAACATGAGGCAAATACTAATATTAGACGAAGAAAAGAAAACTACTGATTCACGGTAAACCAAAAATTATCAGTTAGTAAGGAACCACACACGATGACGGACAAACGGACAAAGAAAGAAAGCTTACCCTGATGTTAAATTTCTTTTTCATCTGTGTACGGAAGTACCCCAAATATGTTCCTAGTGAAATGGTGAAAGCAACCGCCAAATATATAAAGCAGTGCTTCTTGGTAACAATGAAGGCAACGCAGTTGAGAATGACAAGAACAGCAAGAATCAAATGAAGAGTTCCCTGCAAAATAATATCCCGAAATTCAGAATCTACCTAAAACAGCCTTGATTGTGGGGGAAAAAAACAATCTTAGAATCAAAACGATGTGAAAAGATAGAACATTTTCAATTTCTCACTTCCATAGCTAACATTTTGACTTTTGCGCACTTGGCCAAAAGATAAAAAGAGAAGAAAAAGATGATAAACCTGCAACGAACAAGGACCAAAACCAGCTCGACTCATGTTCTTCCCAAATCTATAGCACGGGCAACTGCAACATAAAAATATGGGGCGAACATAAGTAAAAGATTAGTCCAACAACGAGTAAACAAGAAATTCCCATTCTGAAGATAAAAATAAAAACGGAATGCCGTCTTCAACAGTCTAGCGACTGAGTTAAACAGCCAATGACAAAACATTGACCGATTCACATTTCTTTGACTACTTCTATAAATCAACGACAGACAGAAAATATGTATCATCAGAAAAGAAACTGGACAAATAAAAATGATTCGAAAGTAAAAAAGAATAAAGGGCAAATTTTTTTGGGCTCCCCAATTAATCAACTTTTGAACCTGAATAAAAAAATTCGCCTTTACACCCAAAATTAAAACTTTTTTCCCAGGGAGAAGAATTCCGGGAAACATTTTCCAGGAAGCCAAACAGAATCGCTATGAAAAAAGAAACAAACTCTAAATGAAAAAGAAGACGAGTGAGAGAGAGGTACGGACCAAAGGGATTCGACGGCAATACGACGGTCGTCGAGGCAATCAAGGACTTCGCCTTCCCACATCCTGAAGACGCCACCCAAATCCCCAACATCTCCATCTTCTTCTCCACCATGAAAGCTCTGCAGCTTGGCCGCCAACTTGCCTTGGGTCTGCAAAGCCACCGTTGAGCACAGCACGTCGAAATCGACCACAGACTTCCCATTTCCCTCCAAAAATTTCTCCTTTTCTTCCTCCTCCACCTTCTTGAGCACTGTCTCTTGCTTCTCCAAATCCCCCATTTCCGAACCCCAAAACCAGAAGAAGCTCAAGGGTTCCCTTCCTAGCTTCGTTTCTCTCTCCTCCTCCTTCCCCTTCTTTTTATGCGTTTTCGCTTTTCTTTATTCAACGAATGTGATTCTGTGAAGAAATAATCAAGTTTTTATTTATTGAACAAATAAAAATATTTAAACTTTTTTTTTGGGGGGGGTGGGGGGGTGATTTATTATTTGTGAATACGATTTGGGTGAAGGTGGAGAGGATGGTGACGTTTGTCTGTTGAGAGACGGGTGGGGTTTTTGTTGGCGTTTAAGCTAGTAATCGTTTATTTTCTTCTTCTTTTTTGCTTTAATTTTCATGTGGGACTTTGATGAACGGTCCTGCTCTTGCCGTGTTTAGAAACAGAGATATTAGGAGGAGATTTAGGAACCACCACTCACTTAATCACCAAATTAACGCTCTCTCTCTCTCTCTCTCTCTCTTCTTTATTCTTTGATTTGTTTCTGTTTCTTTCTTTCTGCAAAGTATGTTGGTATTTGTTTGGCAAGCCACCCTCATGCCATTTAAATATCAACCTTCCCTACCCAAACAAACGATACCCACCATCATATCTGTCTTTCATTTTACGGTGTTCAAGTCTTGTTGTGGGTGTGTGATTTGAAGAAAATAAAGGCACCCGTCATGTTTTCCTCAAACTCCCACCTTACTTGTCTTTACTAAGAAGATGTTTTTATCATGACAAAGATAATATCCTATTGAGGGGAGATAAATATACTTTTAATCATACAAATAGATGGTCTTAATTTAGTATTGGTTGAGAGAAACTTAATCATGCATCGAAAACAGACAGCAGCAGCGGCCGAATCAAATTGAGTTGCGGTTTAATTATTAAAAGCAACAAAGGGATAAGCGTACATATTGGGGTTGGGTTGGGTTGGGTTGGGTTGGGTTTGGGTGGACAACACACAACAGTCGGAATATCAAATTGATGGGTTTCGTCATTAGTGGAGATCATAGTTTTAAGATCACAAGATTAGGATCTATCTATCTTTATTTATAAGATACAATTAAAAAAGTAATATTAAACAACAAGGAATGAGTCGAATGAGTGGCACTGGCGATGGTGGGTGGGAAAAGAATCAGGATTCAGGACCGCGTAGCCCCAGGTGCCAGTGAGCTGCCCCTAGCTAGCCAGCGCCCACCGGAACCTGAGCTGTATCCTACGTTATTTCATGGCTAATCCCCATGATTAATTAAATTGATTGTTTTTTAGAGTTGAAGTAATAATTAGTAATTAAATCAATTAATTAAAATCCTGTTGCATTGTACCATATGATTAAATTATTTATACGTGATAACAACAGGAGATATCTCGTGCGTGGGGACCGCTAGTGCTGGCTCATGGCTGTATGGATTTAGTTTTAGATAAGCATGAGCTTCTGATTTGTAATTTCTCAAGCTTAACGCTCAACCACCCCACGTGCAAAAAGCTTTGCCTAAAAATGTCAGCATTCCATTCCCAGACATGGGTGTGCGGCCCCAACTTTCAAAGTTTGGGTATAATGGCTTGTGAAGTGGGCCACTCATTTAGCAACATCAATAAAGTCATTATCTACAACCAATTTACCACAGCCCATGTTTAATTGCTCATTAACCAAAGTGCAGAATCATAAAACATGTTCAAGCAATGCATAGACACACAACTCAACTTACAGATAAAAGATGCCCCAATGTTGCTGTATATAAATAACATTGAAAGCCACAACAAAAGAGATCCAAAAAAGGATGGAGAACTTGGTGTTAAAGTCACCAAACCCTAAAATTTCAGTGGTCAAGTCTTCACTGCGGGTCTAACCAACCCTAATCCCGAGCCACTCCCCAAATGCTTGAAGTCTTTTGCTTCAAGATTATCTCCATGGCCAGCAAAGCCTGTTCCACCTTTTGCCAAGTTCACCAAATGCCTTTCTTTACATCCCTTGTCGCAAACAAGGCAAACCTTATCTACAGCCATGAACTTATCAGCACATTTCTTACAAAAGACGTGCCCGCATGAACTAAGAGCCACGAGCGACATCGTGTTGGTCAAAGTAACCTTGCAGCTCGGACAGATAAATGTCTTATCCAGAGATGAAGATTTCTTCTCCTCACTACTGTCTTCTGTGTAATAAACAGGGAAAAGGGACTTCAGCTTTAGTTTCTCGCTTCCTTCTGGACAGACAGTGCTTGTAGAAGGAGCATCTACTTTAGCAGGAGCTGCAGGTGTAGCGGAAGGAAGCCAAAATGCTTTCATTGTCCGAAGCGCCTCTTCTTCATAAGAGGTGACCTTAACACTATTGGCACCATGGAAACCAGTCTTATCTCGGTTCTGGTTTCTATCATTGTATTGCGGTAGTGCACCATGGTTTTGCTGATCAAAAGCCTCGAGCTCTCTAGCTTTCTGCTGCAGTAACTTCTCTTCTTCCTCTTGGTTCTCTTGCTTCTGCTGAGCAGTATGTGCAGCTTGCTTTCTGCCAAGTGGAAGAAACAACCTCTTAAGCACAAACCGCAGAAAGGATAGAATTTATATATAACAAACCCAGGAGACATTTTACTCAAGAGCCAGTGAAAATAAATACAGCCAAAAGGCATCAAGCTCGGCCAAGCTCACAGCTTCCATAGGAAGCCTTGAGGAACCCAGAACACAGACATGGACCACGCAACTACAAAAACTAACAACCAGCAACCATGTTTGGCTTCTATAAGCACACTTAAATGCATGTCAGTTTTAAAGTTACCAATTGGTTTCCCTATGGAAGTACATATATTAGGCTCCATGGAATTGCACTACATGCATAAACCATATTCCTCAGTAACAGATAATCTCATTCAGTAATAAAACTATAAAACTACATTAGCCTAGTCGAAATAAAACTACATTAGCCTAGTCGAATAGGGTTTGAATAACATTTATTAGGCTTTATATTCCAAAACCATGTTAGTAGCTGAGCCAAAATGATTAACCAATCACACAAAGAAAAGCTATAGAATTATGTTAGTTAAGATGCAAATTGAAGGAAAAATAACTATATAAAAAATGCATTTCTTTTCCTATCTTTCACTTTTGCCATTAACATAGAACATACTTCTGAAATTCTTTCATCCCATAGAAGAAAACCCACATTTGAGTTGTAATCAACAGTAACATACTACACAGAAAGCCGGAACCCAATTCAAATGAGATAATACTATGGCAACCTCCAAGAGGGGTCCTAGGTAGCTGAAAAAGCTAGCTCCTTTATGAAGGAAGGTGACAAAACAAATATAAATGGCATTGAAATTATGATTACCAAGCAAAATCCCACTTTCAAATTTTTGATCCAATGCAGAATGGGGCTTCTCAAACGATCTTAGGAGTGTCAATAGCGTTCTCTACGAGTTGAAGTTGGTTTATTGGGCCAATTAAGTACTTTCTACTTTATTAAAGGTGGAAGCTTTCGGGTACACAGTGATATTCATGTCATCCAAAAACCTAACCCTATTTTCGAAGAGCTCCCACCTCTATTGGACCCTATCTTCTACTCATAAGCTCTTTGTCAAATACAGAAATTCAATGCATCAAAGCCAAATTCACAGAGAAAACGAATAAATAAAATAAAACCGGACACTAATAATAACAAAAAATTGGTGAAAATTGGAGGTTTGAGATAGATAGAGAGGCAACGTACCTCTGGATATCTTTCTTCTGAGAAAGCAAGCACTCGAAAATGCATTCTTTACAAAACACGTGGCCTTTCTGGCAGCACATGGGGTTAATGAAGTGCTTTAAGCAGAGGCAACAAGCGTCGAAAGGCTTGATGGAGTCCCTGCCCAGCCTCTCCTTCTGCGTTCCATAGCCTAGCTTTTTCTTCTCATCGTAGGTGAAGAAAGCGAGGTCGTTGTTGTTCTTTGAGTGCCTCTGAGGCATATTTTCTCAGAGACGATTGAAACGAATTTGGTACGCTCGTCTGGTCTTGGATTCGGATTCGATTTGGGGATTTGGGAATTTGGGAAGAGAGATACAGAAGCAGCCCTAAATATATTTGAGGTGCCTGAACCCGATTTCGATTTGGATTAGGAATTTTATTACCACCGCCATATTAAACGACATGCCGCGGGAACTAAAACGACAACATGGTGACCACAATTCCTTTTTTTCTTAACCATTACACTAATACCTTTTGAATTATACACTTCGTGTTGCAATTTACCACACGAAAAAAATTTGGAGTCAATTTATAATTTATCGTTGCATCTATGGTTAAGTTATAGATTTATAGTCATTTTTTTAATTACAAGTGATAATCTAAACTAGAGAGGAGAGGGGTTTCTCACACACACATTACTATGATGACATAGAGTTCATATATGAGACCATTAATCTGCAAGTCAATGCCATTTTTCATTATGTTAGATCCCGTCGGATCTTCAATGTTCTTCGGCTTTTGGTGGATCTATGTCGATCTACTCTTGTTTTGGTAGATCTATTGTCTCAAATTTGGGTTGGCTTTGGTTGTGCTTCATCTTGCGAGGCTGCTTTTTGAGGTGTTGCGGCTTGTTCATGGTAGATCCACTGCTCATTGGTGCATTGATGTCCAAGAATAACTAGGTGGTGCTCTTTATGTCATGCTCCGAAAGAAGATTAGCTGCAATTGATTTTCCTTTAGTGGAGGTTGTTTTAGTTTTTTTATTATTTGATTTAGTTTGTTCAATAAAATTTAGAAACTCTATGAGTTTTATGTGTTTTTCTTCTCCCATGATTCTAGAAAAATTTAGTTAAGTTTGCTAGGTGTCCTTAGTCTCTTTAAGAGAGTCATGTTGGTTGGTGACTAATTTTTGTTTTTGATATCATTGAATTAGATACGGGAAAATTATGACAGTTAAAAGGAGTTTTAGAAAAGTTATTTTCTAATGTGATTCTCTCCATATTGTTTCAGCTTTTCGGCAGGTTGCGGAAGTTTTACCCATAATTGCTTTATTGTTATTGAAATGGCTCCCTTATGTATCCTTTCTACTATTTATTCTTATAAATCTAATAAAATTCTATTGCCTTCTTATAATAAAAAAAAAAAGTGGTAATTTGTAAGAATGTCTAATTAAAATAAACATTGAAATTACAGTATTACAGAGCAAAATAACCAAATATAGAAGGATAAAATAAAATATTAATTAGCTTTCTCTTATATTTTAAGAAGCTTTGGAGATTGACTCAAACCAACACATGTGACCTTGTGACCTTGACGGTGTTTACTGAGGAAGTACTGGTAACCCCTTCATTTGTTTCTTCTTCTCTTTGCCATCTTCTTCTTCAATAGCAATCAATCCATGGCTTCTCCGAGGAAGAGCCCACTTAAAGAACCAGGAGATCGTCAGTCAGCGGCAATCGTAGTCCAACCGTCGTCCCCGCGTTACCCTCCGAGTGGGACCCCCACCTCCGGGGCCCAGCGCCGAATCGGGATCGCCGTCGATCTCAGCGACGAGAGCGCCTTCGCCGTCAAATGGGCTGTCCAGAATTACCTCCGCCCCGGCGATGCCGTCATCCTCCTCCACGTCCGCCCCACCAGCGTCCTCTACGGTGCTGACTGGGGCGCCACCGATGTCTCCATCCCTGAAGACCAAGAGTCTCAGCAGAAGCTCGAGGACGATTTCGACAATTTCACCGTCACCAAGGCCAACGACCTAGCCAAGCCTCTGGAAGAGGCTAAGACTCCGTACAAGATCCACATAGTGAAGGACCACGACATGAAGGAGAGGTTGTGCTTGGAGGTCGAGAGGCTCGGCCTCAGCGCCGTCGTTATGGGCAGCCGGGGCTTCGGCGCTTCGAAGACGACCTCCAAGGCCAGGCTCGGCAGTGTCAGTGACTACTGTGTGCATCACTGCGTCTGTCCTGTCATCGTCGTAAGATTCTCCGATGAAAAGGACGAAAACGACGTCGCAAAGCAAGGTAAATTTGGCTGTCCGGTCGTGCGTGAGGAAGAGCCGGAGTTCCATGACGCTTTGGAGAAAGGTTGAATCTCTATCTCTCTGCAGTTTCTTCTTTGATTTCTCAGCTCCATTTCATTTTTTCTCTTTCTAATTCTTAATTTATTAAAATGCATAGAATATTAACTCTGCTTCTGTTAAATTCATTGTTGCTCTGTTTTTTTTTTGTGCAAATAAATTCCTCATAATACAGTTTTAGTTAGTATCAGACAATAATTATGCATTGGATTTAGAATCCATGTGTTTGGAGATTATTGTCAGTTTTTCTTTGTTTAGTTTTAACTAAAATTGGATTGATGTCTGGTTTAAGATTCGTGCTTAAAAAGTAGCTTTGTTAGTAGTGTACTTCATTTGCCATATGATTGTAAATGACGAGATTAAGAGATAGCATTCAGGTCATTCTTGCAGAGAAGGTATACCATTTGCTTCCCTCACCTTCTTTTCCACCTGGGTATGTTTACTGGAAATATGCTCCAGTATGTTAAAGTTTTTGCTTTCTGATTTTTGTTTTACTCATGTGTTCCAATTCTTTAATGCTCTATCTAAGCCACTGCAATCTAAATCAAAAAGTTGACAGAGTTGTATGTTTCCTTTCTTTTGATCTTTTGTGCCAAAAACACTGCATTCAAGAACGAGATACGTCATTAAAGCCTTATATTTTGCGTCTGGTTAGTTAGACGGTTTCTCTTTTTTTGTCACCTCTTCTGAAGTAACGTATTACTATTTTTTTGTTACCTAATACACGTAAGCAGATGTTGTTCTGTTTTCTCCTGGTGATAAGTTGATGTACTAAACACCTGGGTTGATGGGTGGTGGGTGGTGATCCACTTGCTTGTCTCCTTTCATTCTTTTCCTCCTCATTAAATGCAATCCTCAAATCATGGATTCTTCATATACATTCATATTTAGATTTTGAGACTAATTCAGCATCAATGCATTTGATTTCTAAGAACCAAATATAACAATTAGGTGTTGGCATTTCAAGTTCTTTCATTTACTTTGATAGTGTGTAAAATATAAATTGCGGGAATGCTTAGGACTTCTCTAGTATTCCATCTATATTCTTAGAGGGTTATTTTTTCCTTGGTTTAATGAAAAGAAGTCCTTTTATTAGGAAAAGTTATAATGGTGGAATTTTGATTCCCATGTTGAATTATGTTCGTCACGCAGGAGGTTCTTTCAAGCACTTCTAAATGTTTTCTCTTGGCATCAATGTGTGATTTTTTCCTTTTTCCATTGATCTTTTGAATGTAAATGTTGGTTGCACAAGAAGTAGTTTTTATGGTGCTTATAACTAGCGTTTTTGCCACCAAAATTTCCCACTATCAAGATACCGGGAAGAAAGGAAAAAAAAACTTGTGTATTAATAGGAGCAACCAATGGTGTGAATAGTAGCAGCCTTGCTAGTGCTCCATGTCTACAATGAGGACATCTACTACCAGTAGATACATTTTTGTTTAATGGTCCTAAGGCAAATAGAAATGGCAGATTGAAACTACTATATGTGCTGTTGCATGGCGGGTATACATTGCACTAGACCTGTCTTATGAGAGGAGAATTTTGTTTCAATTCATTTGTACATCTGAAACCTGTTTTATAGAAGTTTGTTCTGCTAGAAACTAACGATTCAAGAACACTGAACAAGGGGTTGATGGTGATTAGGTAAGTGTTTGATGAGTGATTGAATCTTACCTGGTGCATTGTATGCGTGGTATTATGACAATGCTGTTTGCATGATAGTGTGATACAAACCCATTGAACCCAAAATGTAGCTACGAATAGCCTATGATTATAATGGATAATCATCTTGTAAGGGCTGAAATCAAATGCTTACTTGTAGAGTTCCTCCTCAAGAAAGGAGGACCTAGAGGGCATGGGTAGGGTATTTAAGTAAATAAGTTCATCTTGTTAGGTTAGGTTAGGTCTTTTGGAATAGCTTTTCTATGATTTTGTCTTCCACAAATCATCATTAGAGGTGCTGAATTTCTCTCTATCAATGATTCAGTTGAAATTCACACTGAATTTCATGGCTTGCAGATTCAGACAAGGCGTGTTGAACAGATGGAGATGGTGAAGAGCTTTCAGATGATGTTTATCAAATACTCCTGGTTCGTATGTAATCATGTTGTATGAAAAAGTGTGGCGGTAGTAGTACTGAGTCAGTCTCAGTCTTTTCTTTTTGGTTTGTGGCATTATTGACTGAATGTCCGAATCTGCTCATCTTTTGTTTTAACCACCTTTTCACTGCCTTGCATGTTTATGGAGCTCCGGGATGATGAATAATGCATGATTTCTATCTTATTCTTCCTTTTTAGTATTCTGAACATACAACTTACAATACTGCACTTCTTCCTCTTCGAGATTCATAACATTTGTAGGCGAAAAAAAAAAACATACTGCTGCTTCTAAATTGTTTGGGGATTCATAAAACCCAACCAACCGAAGACCCCAAATTACCTTTTATGAAGCCCTAAAGGCCCAAACCAACCCAATTCAGCCCCAGGCCTGATTTGGTTAGTTTGGGCCTTTGGGGCTTCATAAAGGGCAATTTGGGAATTTGACAATAAACATGTCAGTGTGTCCAGACTCCGAGATCTGTATCTATTTTGATTTGGAAATTGGAACTCTTTGATTAGATTATTGATTATATAGCTAGGACTCTAGGAGCACCTTTTTTGTGATTGTTGAAATGGAAAAAGTGTTTGAGTGAAACAAGGTATATTGATAGTATCGAAAATATTGGTAGTCTTAAAATACGGAAATTTCAATGGAAATATCGAGATATTATCGATATCGATAAAAATTAAATATAAATCATGGAAATTGTAAGAGCATCTTCAAGGGAGATGTCAAATACTAAACATCAAATTTAAATTTGATGGCTGATGTGGCAATTTAATATCTTACATAGCTTTATACTCCACATGATATGTCAAATTAAATTATTATTTTATTATATTTTAGTGTTGATTCATTTTTAATTAACAAGAAAATAAAAGAAAAAATAATAAAATATTCATTTGACATCTTACTTTTGGGATGTCAAAAATAAAATCTCAACCTCCAGCCTTCATTCCACATCAGCTTTGACATATCGGTTGGAGTGATGTGAAATGTTATTTCTAGTTGTTAAATATCAATGTGGCATGTTTGACACATCGGTTGAAGATGCTCTAAGAAAAGCTTAGAAATTTTTATTGAAATTTTGGAGAATGTGTATTTAGTCAATTATCTATTAGTTTATCACAAAAAATTAGAATGAAGTGCATTGCATTATGAGTTTAATTGATTTAAATTGATTATATAACGAGATAACAAACACTATGAGTGTAGAAAATATGTAGTAATTAATGAAAGAAGATTAAACACACTATACTTATTTATATATAATGATTTACTATAATATTTTACACTTTATACATTGCATATTAAAATGCATGAGTGACTTGAATTATTGATTCTAGGAGCACGTTTTTTGTGATTGTTAAAATGGAAAAAGTGTTTTGAGTGAAATAAATCATTGGTACATAAATTCAAAAGTGGTGGGCTACCAGCTAGCTGTTAGTCTTAATAAAATTCATCAAAGCCAATGATCTTTGTTCTGATAGCATCTTCTCTGTTTAATAATGACTTAATTAGTGTGAATCAGATCTCGGATTAGATTTAACCTTAATCAGTCAGTCTGTACCAGCATTTTAGTGTGTATTTTTCTTCTTTGAAGAGGTAAAAAAGAGAGAAGAAAAAGAAAGCATGTGTGAAGAATCCATGATAGAGGATTTGGTCCCTGTTGTCAAGATTTCATTGTCTCGGCAAATCCAAAGTGCAAAAGAACACGTCACTTTGGTGATGTAAGTAAAGGACGGAAGAAGGGCAGAATATTTATTTTCCATATAAAGGCCTACTTAAGAAGTGGCCACCATTGCAAGTTACATAATAGGAAGGAATAACTCGTTCCGTGGCGGAGAAATACTTCTCTATTTCCGTTGTTGATCGTGGCTGTCACGTATGCACACGGCAGACGAAAATGATGAACAGCTTAAGTAAAACAGAATCCAAAGGGCAACCAATCAAAAACACAGACGGACCCAAATTATCTCACATCTCCAGGTGTTAGAAATCTTCAATTGGATCCACCACAACCACATAATAAAACTTGTCTCCCTCTACAAGCAACAATTTCCCACCACAAACAAAACCCTCAAGGCCTAGGCTGACTAGCTCCCCTCCCCTTCCTCTTTGATTCCTTGTTTCTTTCTTTCAAATTTTAATATTAGTTTATTAGTAGCTTAGCTTTCATAATAAATCACTAATCAAGTTGCTAATAAAAAAAGAGGGGTGATTTCTCCACTCCTTTTTCTCATATTTTATCCACTTACACTCCTTTTTTATAACTAAAAAAGGAGTGTAAGTGGATAAAATAGGAGTGGGGAAATCATAATACTCTTTGCTAATTCATGAATTATGGCAGGCACGTGGACATGTTTCATGCTTTGACCCCACCTCCCATTCTCTAGAGCTATATATTCTACTAGTAATACTAATTACACATTACAAAAGCAATTTTCTATGCTTCTCTCAATCTGGTAACAACCTGCTCAGACCAAACCTCCCCAATATAATAACAAAAAGTCTACGAAATTACTCATCCGATTTAGAATTAAGGGATGTTTTAATTTAAGATTAGCATCCCCTAATTCCTCCTATGTGTTGTTGAGTGTTTAACAACTAAATTTGACTAGAAAAATAACCTTTGATCTGACACTGAGCCAACGTAAACCTAAATATGGAGACCTTTTTATTATATCTTGCGTTATGTGCGCGGCTAAAGCGAACCATTTGGGCTACTCGTACGGTCAAATCATATTCTACTTTTTTCCTTCCAAGATGCTGGAAAATTATGGCAGAGAGAGAGAGAGAGAGAGAGAGAGAGAGGGAGGGAGGGCTTCAAAAACAGGGGACTGGAAAAAACTTGTGGCTCAGACTTTTTGCTAGGTGGAGGAAAAATGGAGTTTTGCTACTTGCAGAAACTTTGTGCAAACATAAAGTACAGAAAAAACAGAGAATAATATTGGGTTTATACAGCACAATCTGCTTACATTACAAGAGTAATGGTGAGACTTGTGAGGATCCAATTGAAATTTGAAGTCACAAAACTCACAATGGCCTTAAAGATGAGAAAATTCACCTGAAACTGTGTGACTCTTAATCTTTAAAGCCTTCATTAACAGCTAGATTTGCAGAAACCAATGATGGTCTTAAACTTGTTCTTGCCTTGATTTTTTTTTTTCTTGAAATCGGTTTCACTTCAACATTGCTTGATCTGGTCATATGGGTTCTCTTCGGGTCCTTTTGTCCCAATTGAGGCCCTCGTTGTTCTGCTTTTGAAAAGTTGTTCTGTTTAGGTGAGGCTAAGAGAAAAGCCATAAAAATAGTAGCAAGGTTAATTTAAGTGAAGAACTAAAATACCTGAAAATTCGAGTGTGAATTGCAGGAGCGCATGCGCTTACACGAAAATGCTGTTGTTGATTTGGAGAGGCTTTCACTGAAACATTCTTCACTGCTACTTAAAGAACTTGATGAGACTGGTGGAGGAGACCATGGAACAACTTGATTTTCTTCATCATCATCATCATCCCGATCCCCATCATCATCATCACCATCATCTTCTTCTTCAGGGTTATTTTCTCCATCATCTCTATCATCATGATCATGGTCATGATCATCATCTTCTTCTTGTTCATCATTTTCTTCATTTCTGGGTTCCTGGTTAGAAGTATGAATGCATTTCTCGCAAACCGAAACTGTAGGGCCGAGGTTGAGTCCGGAGCCAGTCCAGGGGGTTGGAGATTGACAGACATGGCAAAGCAGAGTCCTTGAATGCTTAGCCACCAGGAAGTTTGCAGCATGAACCTTGATGTCACACTCCCAACACAGGCTAGCCTGATCTGATTCACAATACATCTTTGCTGCAGAATCACAAAGCTCACACTTCTTCTTCATCTCTCTCTCTCTCTCTCTCTCTCTCTCTCTCTCTCTCTCTCTCTCTCCGCCAAGACAAGTCAATCCCTCTTAGTTTTGATTCCTTAACCACATCTTACTTCTGTTCTTTGTTGTTAATTCCCTGGGTGTATATAAAAGGGAAGAAACTGAAAACACATGGTGCAGGGCAACTTGCACCTATTTATATTCAAAACAAACCCCCTGTTTTCTTTCTTTCTTTCCTTCATTTTTTTTTTCAAAGACGGAATTTTTATTTCCCTTCTGAGCTGGGAGAGAATAAAGATACACCAATCACTCTGGCTCCTTGAGTTTATGGGGCAACTTGATTGGCAGAAGAAATACAGATAAAAGTTACTTTGGGAGAGCATTGACCTACTTATGGATAACTATTCTCACAAACATACTTATCCCATCATAGAAAAAGAAAAATTAAAAAAAGACCATAAAACAATTCATTCAGAACACCATTGATTTTGGGAAGAAAAAAGAAAAAAAAGATGTGACAACTGGATGTGATATCACTGGTGTTGATATTGTTGTGTATTATTTGTACACATTTGTTTGAATAAGAATCACAAGAAGACTTTTAGCACAATATGGAAGGAAATAGAGTAAAAACTTTGTAGGCAGAGACTTCACCACACAAGTTTTTTTCTTTGTTTGATAAGGAGAAAGTTCTAAAATTACTCTAATATATGAGAAGGAATTCAAACTCGAGTGTAACGAGGAAGATACATTATCTTGATCAAGTGACTTAATTCACATTGATCAAGTGGCTTAATTCACATTCGCACGGTAGAAGTTTAATTAAGGATGACAATTAGGTGCACTGAGTCAGCACTCTTGACCCTTCAACATGACCTAGAAATTTGACACATCGGATGGCACCTACCAATGCCATGCAATGGATTTAATGGATTTTTGGGGTGGGGTAAGTAGAAGAGACCAGAGGTCCACCCATCGGCCCCGTTTCAAGCAATTTGTGGTTGGTCATGCATGCACTCAGTGCTCTCTGAATTTAGACACCCAGATGGATGCAAGATAAGCTACTTTTGCCCTTTCATCCTTGTCTCTCAGATTTAAATATCTCCACAATTCTGCTAACAATAACAACAATTGTTGTACTTGCATATGTAGACAGATGGACAGGTGTCTATATTGCAGTGAACAAGAAATTATGGGGACTCACTTGAACTCTTTGGTAAAAAAAACACTCTTCAGGGTAGTTGTAGTGATTTAATTGGAATTTAGAGGTTGGTGGAAAGGGGTTTTTTTTTTTTTTCATTAGAAGAAATTCAATCACGTTGCATTCTAAAATGAGGTTTAGTGGGTTGGGGAAGTCACTTTGGTAGTTGGTATCTTCATGGAAAGGTGTTCGAATTGCTCTGCATATGACATATGTGTCACCATTGGATGGTGGGTTTAAAAATCTCAAAATTAAACTCAATTTGCCTCTTTCTTTAGCAATTTGGTAACCAAATATAACTTGTTATTGAAGGAAAAGAAAGTTGATTTTGATTACTTGCAAATGCCAATGAAGCAGGAGTAGCTGTGTGTCTTCCTTCCAAGAAAAAAATAAAGGAAAAGAAGAAAGAAAAACTTGTGGCATGTGTGTGGGTTGGTGTCCATTTCCATTGAACTTCAAATTTTGATGAGTAGCTAGATCAAGTAAGATATACATTATTGGACCAATCTCTCGCAAGCAGAAAGACATGCACATATGTGGCTGAGGTTTTTGGCAGTACATTCAAATGGAACGAATCAAATTATTGATGATCACATTTGTCGATTTTCTCCTTTGTTGTTTGGGGGTTCACATTTTATACCGCAATATCGAAAAACCGACTGAACTGACCAACATTTTACCACAAACCGGCCGACAAGTCACGAAAACTGACCGACACCTCCAATTGTCAATGTAGTTTCCCAAATCCAATCCCGACGGTATGCCAAACTGACCGACATATATTTAATTAATTCATTATAATTATTTTGTATAACTCTCTCATTTCTCACACTCTCAGACTTTCTCCCTCACTCACTCTCCCGTCTCTCTCCTCGCCATTCGGCTGAAACACAAATCCAAAAAAAATATATGGGTTTCAATCTCGCCTCACCTCTCTGTCATTAGTCTCAATATATATATATATATATATATATATCTCTCTCTCTCTCTGAATCATAGATGAGCTCATTAGGTAAACTTTTTAGGGTTTTGATTAGGAATATTTAGAGTTTCAAATTGGGAATATCTAGGGTTTCAATTGGTTTAAATGATGCAATTGAATTGGGGTTTGTAATTAGGGATTCAAATTTCACAGGGGATTTTTTTTTTTTCTGATTTCTCAGCCTAATTCGGTGTTGGCGGTATTTGGTGATACCGACAGCATTTTCAGTCTAACCGAATTACGGTTAACACACCTCTCCGACCTCTATCAGGCTGAGACCGGTCCCAAATATAGTCATACCGCAAATTGTTGGTTGGTTTATGATTCCCGAATCGAGACCAGCCCTAGAGACATCCAAGAATTTCCCCATTTTGGGCTTAGGTGGATTGGGCTCCCAATTGGCTAGTTCCATCTAGGCCCATGATTTCAGAAAAGTCATGCACAAACCTGGATTGGATTGGTGAATCCAATACTGTGATCCATGATAAGCCTAGGACCCAACTTTAGTTTAGGCCCAGATTTCTATAAGATCTTAATAATCTTCTGAAACATTGCACCTCCCTAATTTCAAAGCCGACAGTATTGCATGATCATATATGCTTGCCTATCCAAATTCAGTGAAAAAATGACCCAAAGGAAAAAAAAAAAAAAAAAAAATCAGGGGAAAAGAAAAGAAGGCAATAAACAATATAAAGAAGAAGACTCTCTCATAATTATTATAAGCTACCTGAAATTGCAAAGTAGGATGGTTATGGAGATAGAAAGATAACCAAGAAGAAGAAAGAACTTGAAAGAAAATGAAATTCCCACATTAAGAGAGAGAGAGAGAGAGACTACATTTCACTATCTAAATCTAAAGCTTCCGCCAATAATTCCTTAGAAGTTTGCATCATGGCAGGGCTCAATCTGAACATGAGGGTGCAAAACTCCATCTCATTCAAACTCCCATCACCATCCAAATCACCTTCCCTCAGCATGCACATGATCTCCTCATCACTCATGCCTTCCAACCCCAACAGGCCTGAGTTCCTCTTCAAGCTCTCAAATGTGATCACGCCCTTCTCTCTGTCTATCAATAACCGGAACCCATTGCAGAGCTCCTTCATGAAACCTTCTGCTCCCAATTTGTCAACCATGGCGGGAAAGAAATCTTCAAACACAACCCCATTTCGACAAGCCATTGATTTTTCAATATGGGAAAATGAAAGAACTCAAAGCAATTATATAAAATTTAAGGGCTGCTAGCCAGCTAGCTTTACGTGTATTTTTTATGTAAGGGATGGAGTAGTACTGTGGAAAAGTGACCAGATGAGATGAGGATTTATAAGGCGTAGAATTAAGTGAGGGGAAAATATGAGGAAGATTTCGAGGAAAGAGGGTGGCTGTGGATGACAACAAAGGTAGAGTACAGATAAGAGAGAATTTATGTTTGTTGCCGGCATGATCGAAATTTGCTCTGTTTCTTTTTCTGAGCAGAGACTTCTCTTTCCTCGAAATTACATGGGAAGGTCCAGAAAGCAGAGAGGGTCAGCAGTCATGGCAAGCAATGTAGCATTTTCCTATGACAACATGAAACTTGGCTTGGCAGCTTTGTTGGCATACATTATACACGGGCTCTTTCCAAATCAGCATATATCCACATCCAACATCTGACAGCTATCAGACACACAGGAGAGGGTTTTGCCACGTTATTTAGTTAAGTTGTTAGGATGGAAATTCATAAGGATATTATAATAAAGGAGGAATTGACAAAGAAAGAGTTTCTTTACCAATATTGATTATTATTAAGATTATTAATCCTCGAAATTGTTTATCTAAGGAATTTAAATTGAGAAACGGCTTAGTTTGTGTCAAATTCGACCAGTAAATTAATGTATTGTTTCTCGTTTGTTGCTCAAATTAAGTCCTGTCAGATTAAAAAAAAAAAGAAAAAAAGAAAAATGAATAACATAATTAAGCCAAAAATAAAGATGAAAAATGATACAAGACCTAATATAAATGCGACTCATTGTTGTGTGATAAGTCTCAAATATGCGTAGACTTTAAACCCGATGCATGTTCTTTAAGGAGAAAAAAAGTACTATGCTACTTGAATTTGAAACCCCACAAGAGTGCTTTAGTTTCCTTGTAAGTAATTCTTTTCCCATCCAAAGTCCAGAAATGATTCAAAAGCAAAAGCATATGATTCCGTCCATATGTATAAATCTTTAAAAATAATGAACTTATATATCATTTACGTTCAAGAATTCTATAGTGAGGCCTTATCTCTCTTAATCGTTGGATAAAATTAGTTTGTTTGATTCAACGATTAAGAAATAGGGCCTCATTTAAGAGCCTTATACTATAGAATATATGACTCCATGTATGTTAAACCAGATTAAAATTGATTAATTTAACACGAAAGCTCCAAGTATTATTCCTATGGACTGAGACCCTATTCTTAGGTGCTAATCAAAGTAAATGATCCTAGCAAGGCAGTTGTTAATTTTGGTAAATTAAATGGGATTTTCCTTATTATGTATAGCTTACCTGCCAAAGAAGAAACTATTGATATGCAAAAGTCCACTTGGAATCTCCCAAGATGAAATGGCAATAATGGACAGTGGAAAATGCATATGTCATTATTGCTTTGAATTATGTTCCTTAATGAGAGGTGTTATGCTTGCTATACGTACCTTCCAAATGGGAAAATGAGAGGCAGCATACCTACAAAATTAAGTTCACCCCTACAACTATGAGTCCATTCAAATTAAGAGTCGTACATAATGGAAAGCGATGGGTTAATTTTTGCCTCGAGTAATTATTTTGTAACCCTTCCTGTGATTAGTCTGTAACAACTCCCTGGTATATAATTATTATAAGCAAACCTCAATCTTCTTCAAGAACAGAAAAGCAAAACATTAAGTTAAAGAGAGAGAGCTATACGTGTGGTAAAGAAGAATAATAATTTTGATAATAATAAGCTCCAATTACAGATGATCATAGATCATAGCCAGAAGGAAAAAAAGTATACATGCATCATGCATGCCCTAGAACAACAAACTAAGAGATCAGTGTAGCTATGCCTAACTAGAACTCAAAAGCAAGAGCTTCCTCCATCAAGTCTTTAGACGTTTGCATCAAAGCAGGGCTCAACCTAAACATGAGAGTACAAAACTCCATCTCATTCAAACTCCCATCACCATCCAAATCACCTTCACTCAGCATGCACCTCAAGTCTTCATCACTCATATCCTGCAACCCCAGCAATGCAGAGTTTCTCTTCAAGCTCTCGAATGTGATCATACCTTTTGCTCCGTCCATTAACAACCGAAACCCGTTGCACAGCTCCTTCATGAACCCTTCTGCTCCCAACCTCTCCACCATGACTGGAAAGAAGTCTTCAAACACAACTCCACCACCTAACGCCATTAACTATATTAAATTCTGAACGTGTATATACAGAAAGGTGGTGAGCATTGTGAGGGGTGTTATGTGTATATATACACATGAGGGAGTGGAGTCACAAAAGGAGGGAGAAATATGAAGGGGATGAGGAAAGGGTGGGCTGCGTTGATGACAAAGTTATGTACATGTTGATCAGGGATTGTCCGCGAAGGTTGTTCTTGTTGCAGCCATTTTCTCTAACTTAATTTCATGGCTTCTTCCACATATCTAGTACTTTTCCCCGAAGTTGCATGGGAAAGTAGCACCAATTTGGCATGGTCATGGCAAAGCATTTTCCTTCGAAATTAAGCGTCCTAACACAATTGCTACAGCTCTTTACAAAAATGCCCTCACTAAGAAATGAAAAGAAAGAAGAAACTTGTACAGGACAACAATAAAGCTCATTGACGACTTTATTAATTTTCTTGTTGGAAAAGAAATGAAGATTATATACTTTTTCACTTTCAAGTGTATGCCAGGTGAGAAAACAAAAGGAGCTCTAGGTTTAGGTTATCTGCATATCTAAGACCTTAGCTTGCACAAGTCTTTACGAACCAAACACACGGTTTGAATATATATATATATATATATATATATGCATGGTTGGTTCCGGTTCTGATCGTTGGTTGATCAATGTGGACTAGGTGTTCTGAGATTTCGTCATCCTTTTGAGATGGCCATCTTTGTATCTCTCCATCAATTCATCAAAGATCCTGGACGACCTGGAACGAAATGTTAATATCCCATCCCATGACGTTGTCTTCAAATTCAGCCTTGTGTCATCTAATTAGCTGATTCGGGGAAATTACTTTTGACCAGTCGTCATATGTTTCAAATCCCCAAACATATTCAAGTGCCCTACTTTATAAGGATTGTGGAAGGAAACGCGTAGTTTTTTAATTCATCTATATAGTTGACTTTTCTCAGCTTTTTCTTTCTTAATCTTATACATACATTCACCATCTCACACATATCATATTTGTTTCCCAACGAATATTGAGAATATTTTGATTGTACGTGCTAATTTTCATTGTTAATTATTGTATTTACACATAAGTCATTCTTTTTTATAAATCAATTACAGTTTGACACATATACAAAAGTAATTTATTAAACTACAAAATAAAAAGTTTTAGTACAAATGTCATATTATGATTTGTTGCAAGAGAAATGACTTACATGTAAGGAGACAATCATTTTCCTTATGAGTGCTGCTATTTCCACCGACTGTCCTATTTCTCCACCTTATCTTCCTACCCACCATGTAATTTGAAAGTACACAATTCTATCTTTACACCCGTCATTATTCCTAAAATGCCCTTTAATTATTAATTCAAGCAAATTCTCCAAACTTTCATTCAAAGCATGCTTCAACCATTCAACCCTTACCAATAAAAAAACCCAACAACACTTCGAGTCATTCAACCTAAAATCATACCAAATAACAAAAAAAAGAAGAAAAAAGAATCAATTCTAGATCATTTCATTCATCAACAACAAAGGCCTCAACACCCAGGAGTTCCCCAATCAGTGAGTTTCCTTGCTATCACCACCGACTAGTAAACTAATTTGGACATGTGCAAAAAATAGACAATGATTTCGGTTTATGACCTTATGCAAGCAACACATTAAAAAATTGACTATATTGAAAAACCCAATATTTTTCATCAACAGGGAACTTCAAATTCTTCCACTTTCCTAAAATTTCTTTCATCAAATGACATGAACACAAAAAATACCAAATTTCGAAACAAAATGGTATATATGTACTCATGAAATGGCCTAGCTCTTCGGTAAATATGCGAGTCTGTAGGGCCAACTCTGGTGGCAGAGAGAATGAGCACCGTAACACCACCCTGAGGCACGTGCTCCAAGAATAAGGGGCACGGTCCTGCGCTGAATGGGAGAGGGGTACTCTGTAGCCCTTGCGATTGATATGGATGAGGGAGAATAGGTGGTTTTTTTTTTTTCTAAGCTCTTAAAAGTCATTTTACGAAGGGATAAATTTGTCTTAAATTTTTTAAAGATAAGTAGGTGGGAATATAAGATAGAGGGTGGAAATAACAGCACTTTTTCCTTATTTATACGTACCTAACAAGACTAGGAACAAGAAATATAGCACAAACATAAGCTTGAAGTAGCGTAGTTAACGAAGCACGTAGTTTCATTGATAAAGCACAAAATTACAGATAGAGATAGTACAACGTAGCCTCCCAGCGAGGGAATAAAAAGAGAAAATTAAATTGCGTAGCAATTAATTGAGTACATTTGATCACTGCTCTGCTCTCTTAAAAAGTTAGAGCTTCCTCCAACAATTCTTTAGAATTCTGCATCAACTCGGGACTTAATCTAAACATAAGAGTAGAAAACTCCATCTCATTCAAGCACCCATCCCCATCCAAATCACCTTCCCTCAGCATGCACCTTAAGTCTTCATCACTCATCCCCTGCAAACCCAGCAATGCAGAGTTCCTCTTCAAGCTCTCGAATGTGATGACACCTTTCTCCCCATCCATTAACAAGCTGAACCCATTGCTCAACTCCTTCATGAACCCTTCTGTGCCTAACCTCTCCACCATTGTCGGGAAGAAATCTTCGAACACAACTCCGTTACTTCTCGACGCCATTGTCTGCTAATTATAACAAGAAGGAATTGAAACTTACTAGTTGCTAGGCTAGGAACTTAAGAACACTATTTATAGTACATACATATGCTAGACCAGAGGGGAAAATGGAAAATTTCCAAAAGGGTCGCTTTTGGTGACAGGGAAGGTGCGGATCCTAAGAGATTTGTTTTGTCAAGACTCAAGACTCAAGGGCATTTGTTGCAGGGGCATTAATTTTGATCCGAGAGTTTTCAATGTTTGATTTGATCAGAAAGTTATCTCCTTCCTCGAAGTTGCATGGGAAGCTACTATGCCAGCACTAGCGGCTGGCATGAGAGCTGAGCTCAACTTTCGTTTGGAATGACGAAAGGGCCCATTCTTTAATGAGGTCAATTTTTTCCATTTAAAAAAGAAAGCAACGTTTTTCTTGCTGTGTTGTGAGAAAACAAATAGATCGGAAAAAAAAGAAAAGAAAAAAGAATAGTATTCTTAAAGTACACACAATATTGTGGTTTAAATCCGAAAAAAAACAAAAGGGACAAGAATCGCTCGTGATATGTGGTACGTACGTAACGTATATAAATATAATCCTTCATCATGAGAAAAGCATGAATATATTTTTCAAAATAATAAAAATGCTTATATATAATTCCATTTCTAAGTTATATTAATTATTAAAGTGTTGATAAAGTTGAAAACCCAACATTTAAAAAATATTATTCTCATTGTGATGTTAGACTGTGTCTCATTGCGGAGTTAGGACGAAGGTGCAAAAGCATGGGCATATTATTGAAGGATGGTGAGATTTTTGTCTCACGCAAACGTCAATTTCTCTTCCTCTACCCTATTCTCAATGTGTGCTCAATATTTTTCTGAAACTGAGGAAAGATTTGTCCATATCTATGGAAGTCATCTTATACTATTATATACATGTTAAGTTGAAAACCCTAATTTACATCACTGTGGAAAGATTTAAATTCTCGTAGTCATTCATGATATTTTCATTTATGCGTATATAAAATAGAAATATTTTAGCTCACCACGTGTCAAGTGTTGAGATGGATGGTAATAGTATACCTTGAGTTAAAACGGCCAAAAATATTCT